AGCTCAATTATCTCCACTTTGATGAGACAAAAATTAGTCAACTAATAAATTGTTTATCATAAAGTCATGAACATTATATCAGTGGACCGCTTTTTGATATCTTCAATAGGAAGCGACATAAACTGACTCAAAGTTGACAGGCACTCCATTAGAGAGTTAGCTTGGCTTGGAACTGAGAGACCACATATCCTTAAGCTCCCAAAATTCTTGAAAAAGTTTTGCTTCCATATCACAAGTCTGCGTTACCCCTGCTACCCATCTAGTTCAACTTTTCCTATGTTATGTTGATTTTTCCTACCTCCTTAACAATAATAACAAAACATACCGTTTTGCACAAACATTACGTCTTCTTCTTCTACTTTCATTCACAAATTCTCCTTTTACATTTCGAAAAGTCATAAAATCAGTCTCCTGGTTGCGTTCCAGTATTTGTTAGCTTATATTTTTACGTCACACTCTTGGCACATACAAATTTTACACATGTATGTCTATGTGTGTACACTTTGTACTCTTCTTCCACTCGTACCTTTCGGATTCGTCCTTCCCAATGAAATATTTCGTTCAGAATGTACTCTAGTATAGTCCCATCTAGTTCACATGGCTACTATCATAATCAACATCATCAGCATCATCAGTATCAGAACTACCAGCAGAGCTTTCATCAACAGAACCACTTTGGAAATGGGTCGCCTGGAGGTTCGTCACAGGGTTATGCGAATCCTGGAGCACCGGTGATCAATGTGCATAATTATCATTTTCATACTGGACCGGTGAATAATCAGGTTGGTTGATTTGAAAATTGGGATACTCTACTTTCAATTCCAAGTTTTCAGGTTATTGAACAACACTACAACCATCACAATCATCATCAAAACCACCAGAACCATCAGACCCAAATGAACCAGTTTGAGGAGAACATTCAAAATATGGACCAACAAACTCCATTCGATCCTCCTTTTACACCTGCCAACAACAACCAAACAAACTTTCCAGTAGACCCTAGAGACCATCAGGAGCAACCACTAGACCATACAGCTTCTTCTGGCTCGGAGTCCTCCACACCGTTCCACTATGATCAGAAGCTTTTCATACCATCCCCAGCCGCCTCGGTATCCAGTTACTCCTATTCTAGCGACCTGTCTGTTAAGGAAGAGGAAGATCCTAGGATTCCACTGAAAGATCGAGGACGAGTCTACCATCCACAAAGTACTGAGAAGCCGAAGAAGGTGCCAAGTAAGCGGCGGGATAAGGCAACGCTGGATAGGTTAAGGGTACACAAGTGTCTATATACAGGTGAGTGAATTATCTTCTTATTGAAAATTTTCTATTTCTTATTTTCCAGGCTGCGGCAAAATCTACACCAAAAGCTCGCACCTGACAGCTCATGAGCGTGTTCACAGCGGTAAGTGCCTTTTCATGTACAGTAATCCATCATGTTGCCTTCTCTCCGCCAAAAGGCATAGGTAACACGATACTTCCGTTGGTGACAAACATACCGTTAGAGAGGACCGGAAGCTGTGAGGCTTCCGATCCAATTAGATACATTGAGCTCAGATACAGTTGTCATTGCTTATAACAATATTTGACCTTCTTCGGGTACTTCAGTCACCTAGGCGGCCGCCTTTCAGGCAACTGATTGTAAACTGTCAATTAAGTGCGCGGATAAGGGGGTAATAGTCAAGGATAAGAGGGGAAAGAATGGATGCGGGAATCTCAATAGTAATGTTTCAGGAGAAAAACCATACCCTTGCGAATGGCCTGGATGCTCTTGGAGATTCGCTCGATCCGATGAACTCACGCGTCATTATCGAAAGCACACTGGAGCGAAACCGTTTGCTTGTAAGGAGTGCTCCAGAAAGTTCTCGAGAAGTGACCACTTGCAACTACACATGAAGCGACACGAACCGGATGGAATGATGATGATCCAGGAGGAGGATTTTAAGGATTTCAAGAATTTTATTGATTTTGTGTAGATTTCTTTAATCGTAGTAATAAAATTGATTTATTTAAAGCAATTAGTATGGTAGTGATGTGGGGGGTGGAAAGTAGGTTCAACAGGATTCAGGAAACTGAGGTATGGTATAAAAAACAATTTGTAACAAGGTACTTCTACACACGTCTATAATATCTGGTCATGTCGTGCCAAAAGCAAGACTTCATGGATTCGAATCTGTCAAAGCATGGGACATAGGACATGTCCAGTTGTTGTGGGTGTCCGAGTCGTTGGTCACAGAATGATAGACATTTCGGTCCGGCCAAAGTGGTGGTCACTCCGTTACGTGCACAGCAGGCCCGATGATCTCTGGAAGCATGGATTTTTTAGAAAATCGAAAATCTAGTTATAAGTCGCCTTTTTAAGAACCCTAACTACCGTTGTTCCTCTAATAGAAGCCCACCCAAACCGTCATCTTTGAGTTGACCTATCTCGTTTACTCTGAACTATATTAAAAATGGGTCAACTGATAAATTTTTCATCATAACATCACCAACATTTTATCAGTTGACACATTTTCGATATCTTTCACAAGAATCAAAATAATTGAGCTCAAAGATGGGTGAGCTTCTATTGAATGAAATATGGTCACTATTCCAAACTAACTGCTCACCTTCCCTGAGCAGCACAGAATTGCATTTCCTTCATAGCATCCAATGGACATGGATCTTGCTTGAAGTACATGGCTTGGAGGGATGACTTGGTAAAAGCTCCGAACGAGCACTTGGACAGGCAAGCGTCAGGAAGTTTACGGTCGAGGCAGCACTCGTAGAAAGCGCGGTCTGGGTTCTAAAATAACTATCTGGTTGATGCCAAGATGGTGATAGGCCATGCTTACGATTGGTTCGTCAGAATGGCGGTTTCTGGAGACAGATGGGGAAACCAAGTCGAGTTCCTCAGACTCGGTGAGTCGCTCCTTCCTGCGGACACGCTCCATGGCCATTCTGAAAACTTTGGAGGGTCACAATCCGATATTCAAGCAAACCACTCACCTCTGCTTCAACACCTCTCTATCAGCTTCCTCAGATGCGCTTCCTGAGACAGTGACTCTGCTACGCCCACGTTTTGGCTGATAGCTCTTGGCTCCACGAGCACGAAGTCTGTAGCAACCGTAAGATCCGCATCCATAGCTTCTAGCACATCCACACGCTGGTTGGGGTTGAGGTTGATAGGCTCCGCAACCCGGCTGGTAACCACAGAGACCGTTGGTGGCGCACTCAAAAGTGCCCTCTGGCAAACCAAGGAACACAACTGCTAGTAAGAGAATGGATGTGGATAAATGCATCTGGAATAGGAAAATTTTAAAGGTAACCAAACAAAAATTGAAGGAAAAGTATTGAAGTAAGAAACCAAATTAACAGCGGGAGGTCATTTTTGTCTCACAAACGAAAAAATACAGTTTGACAAAAACAAAAAAGTCATCACAGGAAAAAATAGTGGGCGGAGTCCTCATCGGTAAGTCTTTGTAATTATTGTAGCTAAACGGTCACAGACTACAAATCATAGGTTTTTTGGAAAACCCAAAGTTGCAATATCTGTACCAAACATGTACCTGTTTGGGAGATAAGAACAAAAGTTCTGAATTGCTTTAGCAAGTGATATCTAGACTTTGAGACTGTTTAGAGTTTTTTTTCTGCAAAAGTTTCAGATAGTAAACAGACTATAAGGTATTAGTGATGCCTTACAGTCAGACATCAATCACCGCGTGACGCTTTCTACTCAAAAATTTCTCAGAATCCTTCTTATACATCTTCAACACAATTGATGAGGGTCTAGGCATGAAGAAACCTTGACTGTTTGATTCGGCAAACACACACACGATTAGTTTCGTTTCAAAAAATTTTTCGAGAATCTTTTGCCACAAACAATTGCCGAGGTCATTCCATCGTCTTCTGATGACGTTGATTGATAAGGAAAGGTTTGGGAGGAAATGAAGACGTTGGAAAAGAAGGCAAATAAATATTTTGTTGAAGTTAAGGCACCAGATAAGCTCAAAAGATGGCAAGTTGCCGTTAATAGCAACGGAACGAAGTCTGAAACCATATCGTAAAACCTGTAATAGAAGGGCACCCTAACTTCGAACTTTGAGCTCAATTATCTCGGTTCCTGTGATAGATAACAAAAAGTAGTCAACTGATAAAATGTTTATCATAATATCAGCAATGTTTTATCAGTTAACAAATTTTTGTTATTTCACATAGGAGCCGAGATAATTAAGCTCAAAGGGAACGTATAGAGTTACATTCTGCGCTCAGTTTAAGCTCAATTATATCATTTCCTGTAAAAGATAGCAGAAAATAATAAACGGATTAAAAAATGATACAGTAACCAATAATTTATCAGTTGACCCATTTTAGGCATCTTTCACAGGAACCGACATATATAAGCTCAAATTTAAAAGTTAGGGAGACCTTCCATGTATTACAGGTTTGACGGTAGTTCAAACTTTCTCAAATGGTATATAAATGATTTTTAAGTATCCTTCAGAAATTTCAGACAAATTCAAAAATTCGATTAGAATGTACTAAAAGATTCCACAGCTTCTAAAAAATGTAAATGTACCAGATGTTGCCATGACCAACCATCAGTGTAAAATTAGCTAAAAACCTTGAAGAGGTCGTTTAACACAATGAATCAAACCATATGATCGAAGTAGGTGAAAACCTCAAAAATCATTTCCATTTATGCATAGTTCAACCCGTTTGCCCCCTCTACAGTAATTTGTCATAATTTGTTTCATTCGTTCCAATCCGAATTTTCACTTTTTTCCCCACCACCGAATCGCAAAACAACAAAAAATTTCACTTTTCATTGCAAATCGAACACAAAAATCGAAAGAAGAAGAAACAAGAGAGAACCGTAGAAAGACTGGAATGTGGGTGATGTGGAATTACAGTAATCGTGGCTATAACATATGCAAATCTGCCGATCTCCATGTATTCGGCATCCCTGCTCCTCGAGTTGAGGCTTGCGATAGTTCCTGCAAATTTATGAGATGAGAAATACTGTAACTTAAGAGTAAAAAAGAACTAGGGGGCACCCGGAGTTGAACCGGGGACCTCTCGATCTGCAGTCGAATGCTCTGCCACTGAGCTATACCCCCACATGAGAGAATAGCGTTTAGCGACTAACAAGCAGCCGTGGGAAAGCGCCGGTCTCAATAAATAAACGTAATTCATTGACCAACTAGAGAAGCTTTCCTACAAACAAAGCCAAAAAGAAACTAGGGGGCACCCGGAGTTGAACCGGGGACCTCTCGATCTGCAGTCGAATGCTCTGCCACTGAGCTATACCCCCGCTTGGAAATGGAGACGCAGGCGTTTGATACGAAGAATCGCGAGAACGGACAGAGAATAGTGTGGTCAGCGAGGTTGTGGAGGGGGGAGGTAGAGACTTTTGTCTGTGTATTATATGTTTGCTGTGGTGTTGCCCCGCGCTTTCATAATACACATCGTGCTTATTAGCCACAAAGGCTTTCAGAAAAGTGTAATTAGATAGAAAATTTTTTAAAAAAGTTGCCGAAATTCTGATAGCTTGAGCTTGTGCTCTGCCTGAACCAAATTTTTAGCATTTTCTATAGACCGGAATGGAGTTTGAAGAAGATAATTGTTGAATTTTCTATAACTTGAAGTTTAACGAATTCTGGCGACGTTCCAGTAGTTTCTGTCAGCCTCAACCTAACCTAGGTAGTGATATAGCGCTTACGATAATTTCAATTTTTGATTTTTTGGGAAATTTGCAGTTTTACATCTTCAACAAATCCTGACGACTTCGACATAATAAAACGCCACCCGATTAGTCAAATTTGAGCCTATGTATCTCATTTTCTGTGAGAGATATTAAAAAGTGTTTAACTAATGAAATGTTGCTGATATCATGATGAAATTTCAGAATTTCAGGAACAGAGTTCATATGGAGATTTCCATACCCTACTTCGAGTTCAATTATCTCGGTTCCTTCAAAAGGTATCAGAATATTTTCAACTGATAAATTGTTTATCACAATATAACCAATATTTTATCAGTTTACAGATTTTGAATATCTCTCATACGAACCGAAATAAGTAAGCTTAAAGTTGGGTGGGCTTCTATTAGAGCAAATACAGCAAGCTTTTTTGTTTAAAAAATTCTCACCTCGTATCATAGGGCAAACAGGTCAGTGCAACTTCCCGATTATCGTCCAAATTATGTGAAACTACTCGGGTACACGCCACACCTGAGCATTCTCCACACGATGCGTCGAGCACACAATCCGAACCTTCCAGACATTGGAGCGAAGCTGAAAGGATAAGAGTTTGGCGGGAATTTCAGTTGACTTGCTTTTGATATTTTGCAGAAGAATCGAGATAATCCAGCTCAAACTTGGCATTATGGGGTGCCTTTCGATTACAGGCTTTACGTTATCTGTATTTTTACACCCCTCAGTCACTACGAATTGCCAGATTCCCTCTAGACGAACGTCTTCGACAGATACCCAACGAATTCAGCATTATAAATTGAGCAGAACAAGAGTAGAAGAAGGAGGAAAATGTAATAGTAGTGTAATATATAATCTATGCAACACACCCTTCTCCTTTTTAACCGCATCAAGGAGGTTGGCTAGTAGTAACAATTATCCCTTCAAAAATGATGGAAAGCTACGGCAGGATGGTCTGTCGGGGTGTCTGTTTGTCCGGATGGTGTTTTGGATTATCTATCATAAATTTTCGCGAAACTCCCTTATGTTTTTTTCTTCCTTCCCTTCTATATTACATACCTTTGCTTGGCAAGGGATACATGCCCGCCTTTGAGCCGGAACTCAAAAGAAAGACGAAGAAATGTGGGGTGGTGTCCTTTTGCCTCCGGATGGCATCCGGTGAACAGATCAAATGTCGAAAAGAGCCCCCAAAAGTGCATAGGCATACTAAATCGTCTAGAATTTTTGATTTGACATAGAAGACACTGTAACTAGAGGCCTAGAAACCCCGCTTACCCTCAGCCATAACAATTTTACATCCGTTTTGCCTTTTAGAATTTTTTACGATCCCCCATTTTGGTCCCCAAGACCTCCACTTTCTCCTTCAAGTCCATAAAAACTGAAGTTGGACATTTTTATAACCCAATAAATACGAGCACTTTTTCTCCCCGCTTTTTGTGTTCATCGATTTCTTTGAAGACGTCAGAAAGGAGTTGCTTTCTTTGTGTTTTGTAGAAAAAAGGCAAAAAATTCGATTATTTTGGTCCTTCTCAAACAATTAGTCCTCTCTTCCTACTCGCTAATTTTTTGACAGAGAGAGAGACGAAAAGATGAAGAAGTTTTCGGGGAAGGGAGGAAGCGGAAGACGTCAACGTCTTCTGAATGTATTCTGAAGTGGACACCCCTGGAAAATAGAGGGGTTGGGTGGTGCTGGTGGGAGAAGAGAATATAGTTGGAAAATCGGAACGTGGGATTATAACGAAAAACCTGTAATAGAAAGGCCCCTAACTTTAAAATTTGAGCCAATTTAAATCAGTTCCGGTGAAAGATATTAAAAAGTGGTCAACTGATAAATTGCTTATCATAATATCACACAAATTTTATGAGTTGACAAAATTTTCATATCTAGGATAAGAGGCAAAACAAACTAGCTGGAACTCAACAGTGTGATCCCTTCTGTTACAGGTTTGCGATAGCTACAACTGCAAGTCACTTTCTTGTAGAAATGACTTAATATATTCAGATTAAACTTCACAAATATATTTCTAACTAGAAACACTGAGATTTTGAAATTGTCGAGTAAATGGGACTCTTCAAAATACCGTAAAACCTGTAATAGACGGGCCCTCTAACGTTTAACTATAAGCCCGTTTATCATGGGTCCTGTCCAAGATACAAGAAAATTTTCAACTGAAAAATTGTTAATTCTATTATCACAAAAATTTTATCAAATGACACATTTTGGATATCTAGCCTAGGAGCCGAGAAAAGTTGGCTCAAATATGATAGTGTGGGGCCCTTCTATTTTCCAAGACACTTTCGAAGGACCCTTCTCTGAAAGGGAGGGTCTCGGAGGGCCCTTCTATTAGAGGGACCCTTCTATTAAAGGGGCCCTTCTAATACAGGTTTTACGGTACTTAAATAAACTTCAATTACTTTCTCAAGCTAAAAATCAGCAAACTTGGGCTTAGGCTTAGACCAAAGTTTTCGAAAAATGAAATTGAACAACTTTTCAGATTTATTGTATTTTATCTGTAACTGAAAGACCTGGAGGTTCCGCCGGTCAGAACAACCGTGATCTACATTCAATCCTCATGAACCATGCCATCCATCCTGACCCAGCACCCCTAACCCTTGACTCTTCTACTCTATTCAATTAGCTCGCTTCAACAAGAAAATGATGACTTTCTTTTTCCCCTTGCCAGCTCCCTATGTTTCCAATTAACATCTCCATGACCCTCTCAGAGTACCGGGATTATGACTTGTAGTAGTCTCTCTCTTTTCCTTCACAGGGAAGAGTCTATGTCCAATGAAAAGAGCATAAAAACGTGGGTAGGAGCATGTAACGAGACTGGAGAAGCACATCGATTAGGTATTCAAGAGGACGCTAATTGGCATTCGATTACAAAATGATGCTTTGGGAGCAAGAAAGGAGAAAGGAAAAGGATTTTTTGAGATACGCCAACGTTCCAGTCATATGAGTGATCTTTAAGTTCTGATCGCTGGCATTGTGACTAACAGACGTTTCCCGGCGCATTGAAATAGTGTGATCCTGACTTTCAAAATCTTCAATTTGTGCTAAATTTGGAAAAAAGTATGTTTGACATTTTGGGAAATCAGAAAAAAACGCAATTCAGGCACCGTATGTCCTCTAATATAAACCACCAAATTGAGCTCAATTATCTTGATTCCTGTGAGAGATACCTAAAATTTGTCAAATGATAAAATATTGGTCATGTTATGAGAAATGCTTTGTCAGTTTACCACTTTTGGATATCTTATACAGGAAATGAGACATTGAGCTTTAACTGAGCGTAGAGGGCGTGATAGGATGCAACTCTATACGTTTCCTTTGAGCTCAATTATCTCGATTCCTATGAGAGATATTTGAAATTTGTTGACTAATAAAATATTAGTTATGTTATGATAAACATTTGATCAGTTGACCTATTTTTGATATCTCTTACAGGAAATGAGATAATTGAGCTCAAAGTTGGTTTAGGTTTAATTGGGCTACTATTGAGGAAATGCAGTATTTTATGAAAAAAAATGGGCTATAAAAAACCGACTAGAAATGTAGTGTATCAGCTGGCTACATATTTAGTCTCTGTCTGAAAGTTTAGAGTTTGCTGTGGCCTAGTATTCCCTTTTTTAAATCCACCCTATCCTAAATGATATCATCAAACCTCGCCAAAAACCCCACAAAACCCTCCCAGCTTCCCGAAATGCAAATCTCTTTTCAGATAAATGAATAATTTATGAATCTTTTTTCGCTAAAAAACCCTCGCATTTGAATTGAATACTAATTCAATGATCCACTAATTTTTCTCTCGTCGTGGTGCACTTTGAGCTCAACCCCCACCCTTCTCAATCGAAAAAACCCACACCTTCCTATACGCAATCGCAAGCTTTTCCCCTGGTGTACCCCGAGGCGCACCAGGTTTTGCTACGGTTCCAACCCAACTTGGTTCGATTCCGTTTGGGGTTTTTAGCGTTTCTTTTTTCAGCTTACCTGCCATTCCAATGGTGCCGAGGAGCAGAAGGATCAGTCGAATCGGCAGACCATTAGGCATAGTAGTTCTGATTTCATTCGATGTGCAAACTCATTACAAGGGCGTGAGCTGGAAAATTTCAGAAAATTCTTGAGAAAAAAAGACGGATGCCTAGACAACCGGAAATCTCTTTAACGATTAGAGATCTCCTAGAATGTACCAGAAATAAATTATTGTAGTTTGTAGTGTCCAAAACGAACGCAAAAAAGGCAATGAGCTCTCTCTGATGGAAAAGCGAGAGTAGGCGTGGTGAGTCTCGTCGTTTGCCAGAGCGAGCTCAGGAAGTTTGTGGGCGGAGCTTCTTGGCTTCTTGGCTCTCTTTCTCGACGGGTAGTGTGTGCCACTTAAATACTTACTTTTTTTTACGGGAGGGGGGAATGTGTGGTGCTCAATAGAGCGAATAATATAAAAAATTATGTATTGAGAAAAAAAAAGAAAAAGTAAGAAGAAATGAATATGAAGAAGGTGTGACTTATTAATAAGAGAAAGAGTCCTGTCATAGGGGGTTACAAGTGATGAAAGAGGCAAAAAGGGATGAAAATGGGTCATATTGAACAGATTAGGCCGAATTTTTAGCTAAAAATTAATAATTTCAAGCCCATTTTTAGCCTTGTTATAATGAAATCAATTAACAATTAAGCTCAATTAACGCCGCTGATTGTTGAACGTAACTCGATCGAAAATTGTGGATTGTGGTGGCGGTGGTGGTGGCGATGACATTCTGACGGCGTGACGACGTTGATGGCGTTGGTGATGAGAAGAAGCTGGAAGAGTGACGGTGCTTCGAATCCGATCCGATTCTCCATATGAGATTCTGGAGCGAACTGGAACGGTGACCACTTCTTCATACTCCTCTTCCACTTCTTCGTATGGCAACTCATCATCCTCGTGATAATCCAACAGGCCATCCATCTCGTAGTCCTCCTCATCGCCAATGAATATTCCAGAAGATTCCGTATTGTTTCTAGAGGAGACGACCTTCTGAAGACGTCCTTCTATCCGAGACGATGTTGTCTTCTTGGGATCCACGTGAATTCGCATGGAGCCAGTTGGGCCAGTGTGTGTTAGACGAGAGGTGAGGGAAGGGCGATTGGATATAGTTCTGGAAGGTTTTGAGATTATTTTAACCCAAAAATTTTAGGAAATTACAGAAATACTCACTTCTTAATGCCTGATGGAGCGATTCTGGAGATTTTGGATCCTCGTCGATCCGTTGAAGACGAGACCTCTGCGATTTGTTTTCTCTGCATTCTCGCTGCCAAACTGCTCTTATCAATTGGCGACACCGAACGACCACCCTGACGGACACCGGTGGTTCCACGAACTGCTAGACCTTGCTCTCTCATTTCCTCAGCTTTTCGCATTATTTGACGAGTCCGGTGAGTATTGCCCACTGGCATTTTGACATGATATATCTCATGACGATCCGGTGGCGGTTTGCCACGACGATGCTCGCTGGCTGGTGAGAATTCCGAGTTTGGCGCTGTGATTCTCGCTTTCTGGGCGGCTTTCGGAGGTGCTTCTACTTCGTCAACGTCGTCATTTCCACGCTCGATGGCTGATTTTGCTGCCTTGATGCGGCGAAGAATGCAGAGCTGTAAAATTGATTTGGAATTCTAAAGAGAAAAGTTTCCTCACTTGATCTCCAATCGCAGTGACTCCCAACTCGGAGAGCGTCGATTTGTCAAGTTCCGGAAGCATTTCTTTAGTGATTCTGCAAAAATATTCGTTAGGAAATCCTTAAATTAATTTTGAAGTCTTTACCGATTATTTTGGAACGTTTTTGCATATTTTTGAGCGATTTCCTTTGGGATACCGGCTCGTATGAAGAACTGAGTCCAAGCCTCCATCGTTCTGAAAAGAAAAATCGTGAAAAATCAGCGAAAATCTCTTAAATCTTGCGGTACGCAGTGTAAAAATGGCAAAGCAGCTGTGTGTAGGTTTACGCTAAACACCGCGCGCAAGCGGGATTCCGGAGTGTCGTTGTTGGCGGAATTTTGAGTTATGAACGAAAAAGGAAAAAATCGGCTGGAAGAATATAGGAAAAATTGGTCGAAACAGTGAAAAAATAAGTTCTTCTCAGATTTTCAGACAGAAAGAATCTTCTGCGAGGCTCTTAAAAACTGAACAATTATCTCGTCATTGACGATTCGTCAAGCATGCCATCGTCTTATGATATCTTGTTCAATGAAGCAGAAATTTCGTGCGACATAGCTGTCATATTCTTGAAAAACTCTAAAAATTCGCTTCTGACAGGATGTTTAGCAAAATAAATCCCGCTTCAGAAAATCTGGAAACTTCTATGGACATCGAAATTCCGGATAGAGCCACTCTATTGGAGAGAAGAGTATTTCGAATTATTCTTGTTTTTATTCTTGTCGTAGTTGTTATTGTTCTGATATCCGTTTTTTGCTATAAAAACGGCTACATCTACAGTATAAATTTCCAAATTTCTCTTCGTGGCGAGACTCAAGCGATGTCATTATGTCATGTTCCTTTAAACTTACCGTATTAGTTTATTTTTGGCATTTTTTTTCGATTTTCGGTAGGTTTTTCCATCAATTTATCTGAAATTTCACCTTAAAAATTTTAAGATGACGTGGCAACAACAATCAGTATATCATAGAGACTCATGGCGCAACGAGATGCCGTGCGGTTCTCGATACGAGCACTGGACAGATGAAAAGCCACCGCCAGCACGTAATATGTACACTTTCGAACCAATTCAGCGGCCTGTATGGAGTCAAGAGCAGCCACGTGGGATTCTGACGCCACTGCTCTCCCTTCAACTGTCACCACCACCTCCATCTCGATTTCTGCCGCAACAAAACCCCGTCGATCTGAATTACCGCCCATGTCAATATATGGTTCGTTGGATTACCTAATTTTAGCTGATTTTCATTTTTCAGGCACCTAGAAAACATAAAAAAAAAAGAGCAGCGCATCAAATCAAGAGAAAAGAATTTCTGGCACGTCATCAGCCAGTGAATCTGCTTTATCATCGGCTTCAGATGACAAGTGGGACGAGGTCGCTAAAAGAATTCAGCCAGCAGTGCCATTGGAGCCCAAAAAGAAACAGCTCAACTCGAGAAATCGACCATATTGAGTTTTCAATTCGAATTTTTTAAATTTGTATTAAATTTTGCTAAATCAACTTTTTTCTTTTTTAAATAAACACTATATACAGCTAAAAAATTCTAGAACATAGTGAATTAGTACATCTTCAAGAAATCCTTCTAAGGGAGCAACTAGATAGAAGATGTCTCTAATCAAATAAAGCACCAACAACATCTCCAGAGATAGATTACGGGGCGTAAACCTTATTTTCTCTTTCCGGTGGCTTTTCCACCCTTTTCGTCTTGTTTTCTTCTTCTTCCCCTTCGGATATCTTCATTTTGTTGGATGATTCGGTGGAAACATTGAAGAGAACCACGTGGATTTGCACCGACGACGATGCGGGAGGAAGAAGATGTGGACCAGTGGCTGGTGAGTTGGTTTTTCTTGGTACTGTATTATATTTATCGCTGTCGGATGAAAAAAGCGGAGATTTCGTTAAATTCTTCTTAAAGGAGCAAGAGCCAATTGGCGTACCTTTTAAGCCAAGTTTCTCAATTTTTCGACGATTTTCCCCATTTTTCAATTGTTTTTATGATTTTGAGTCATTTTTTTCCGATTGACATCGAAAAACGGTGGAAATCGGGCAAATAGGCAAATACTCTGGAAAAAGTTTCTATCTTACGAGTTGCTATAAAGGAACAATTGTTATATATTTAGTTGCTATGACACCATTGCATATTTGTCGCAATTTCTTTATTTTCATGGTCAAATCGCTGAAATTATTAGTTTTATTTTCAAATCAACGGCTTAGGTTGAAACGCCTTGCCGGAAAACGGGCTTTTACCTAGCCTAAGCCCGTAATATAAAACAAAAATCGGAATAATCTGAAGAAATGTAGCAATTGTTGCTATGATCAACTCGTGAGATAGCAACTTTCCCCAGTATTTGCCCATTTGCCTGAAAATCGTCGGAAAATTGCGAAAATAGGAACAAAGAATACGGTAGTTCGCTCATGCGCCTTTAAAAGAAATTTAACGACATAGCCGCTCTCAACCTTTTTTCGCGATAATGGTACAAAAACTGGTTGAAAAATCGGAGCGGTGGAAGAGAAACGCCGGTGGCCGTGGTCCCACAGCAAAAACCACAGTAACCAGAACAATTTTTTTCGAAACTTATTTTGTCGTTTTCCTGATTTTTTCTCAAAAAATAGTTGAAAAATTGAAATTAATTTTTGACACTGGAAACGTACGGGAATCGAGAAAAAAAACTTAGTAAATTAAGAAAAAATTGGATTACGGTAGTTTTCGTTGTGGGACCAGTTAAGCTTGAGGTGAATGAAAGAAAATTGCGGTTTTGGAATGTTTTGGAAAAAAATTTCAAAAAAAAGTTTGGATTTCTAGATTCCTGGATTCTCAGAATTGTGAAAGCAGACAAAAAATATATCAAAATTCAAAAAATATATTCAAATGTCCCCTTTTTGAAATTCTAAAAGACAAAACACACAGCCCCATCACTTGTCTCCACATGAGCTTATCCTCTTTTTTTTTCTCCCCGTTTTTGAGCCATCAAAAATGTGTGAAACCCAAACCACTCGACATTTTTTCTCGCCAATTTTTGTGCTTTTTGCTATGTATGGCCAACGATTTTGTTGATTTCCTGAATTCAAATCTCTGGTGATCTTCAGTTTTCAGATATAATTCATCAGGTCCCATTTTTATCCAGAGTAAATCCAGGGTTTTCTAGAAAATTCTGGAATATACACACCTACCTAATCTTCTTGTGAGTATAATCCCTTCCATTTTCAATCATGCTTGAGGAAGCCATAGAGAGAATATCACCTGATGAAGCAGATTCAGTCACATTTTTCCTTTTTTTGTTTGGATAGTGTATACTATAGTTTGGTCATGCTTATAGAGCTTAAAAACTCAAGATTTTTTAGTTTTTCCAATTTTCGAGATTTCGCAGTTTTTCAGATTTCAAGGTTCTTGACTCTAAAAAATCCAAATCTGTTACTGTTAAAATTGAAAGTACCGAATCCCCAAAATTCCATAGTTTCTGATATCCCCTTTTCTCATAGTTCCGTCAACACTGAATGGAACCCCCCCCCCCCCTTCAAAGCAGCAACATTGAGCCTGTGTAGTTCCATAAATACATCAAAAATTTGTCAACTGATAAAATGTTGTTTTATAATATCATTAATATTTTGTCAGTTGACCACTTTTTGATCTATTTTACAGGAACCGAGATATACTGGCTTAAAGTTGCGTACCCGCCGCTCGGCCGCAGTTGCTACATCAGCCTTGCATCCTGCCTGTTAACTTTGAGCCAATTTATCTCAAATCCCATAAAAAATATCAAACATTTGATAACTGATGAAATGTTTATCATAATATCCTATACGTTTTATCAGTTGGCACGTTTTTGGATATCTCTTATAGGAATTGAGATAATCGAGCTCAAATTTAACCGTCCGGGGGCCCCATTACATGATTTACCGTTATTTAGTATTATACAATTTTTAGCTTTTAAAATTCTAAAACAACATTCTCAAAGACTTAAATTCTTCCATTTTATTCTTTTTTTTCACATTTTTATTCCCATTTCTATTGCTCTCAAAAGTGCACATATACATACATTCTTTTGGGAAGGGGATGAAAATGAAACCTTTTTTATTGGTATTCCTCTTCCATTTCTCATTCCTTCTTTCCTCCTCCTCCATTTTTTTTAGTTTCCTTCAAATTTTGTTTCTGTAGATGTCGCGAGGCTCTCCTTTACATTTTAATCCATCTTTCTTCCTTTCCTCCATTTTTTTGTTACGTTTTTTTGACCTCCTAAGAAGTAGTAGATGATGGATAGGAGACATGTGACACACAATTTTTTGAGCCTCTGGTGATTATGTCTTTTCGAAAAATCTCCTTTCCCAAAAAATGCCCCAAAAAATTGTGTTTTGGGTCCTCACATTTTCGAAAAAGTTTCTCTTGAAATGGGAAATTGAATTTGGCACTATTTGTCACCCCGATAGCGGTTACATATCTTTCATATTTTTTTTTGTTCGGTTTGAGATTTTTCGAAAACATTAGAAACTTCAATTGAATGGAACTCAAGACGTCCGTTCAACATCTGATTACTGTAGTCAACCTTACAGTACAACCTGAGCCGTCACAGTTAACTTCAAGCTCAATTATCTCGGTTCCTGTGAAACGTATCGAAAAGCGCTCAACTAATAAAATGTTTATCATAATATCACCAATATTTTATCAATTGACAAATTCTTGATATATTTTGAAAAAAACAAGATAATTGAGCTCAAAGTGGATAGATTCTAGTAGAGAATTTACAGTAACTATTAACTTTGAACCCATATATCTCATTTCCTGGAAAAGATATAAAAAGGGATCAACTGAGAAAACGTTCCCCATAATATTATAAACAATTTGCATGTTAAACATTTTTTGATACTTCTTACAGTAACCGAGATAAAGTGAGGCAAAGTCTTAAACATAGATCCATCTGCAACTAAAATCTGCAACTAAAAACCTACAAAATATAAAATGCCTTGGGACTGAAAAGGGTACTTTTGGAGTATGTTCAATATGGTGTCCTAGCAAATTATTCTCAAATAAAAATGACCTAATTGGTCGACGACAGCCAATCCATAGCCTACCGAAAACCGGTAATAGAAGGACCCCGACACTGTTTAGTTTAAGCTGATTTTTTTCGCCTCCTGAAAATGATCGAAACGGGCGAAAATAAACGTTTTCGTATACCGTAAACACTCTAATAGAACGCCACCCGGACCGTTCACTTTGAGATTTTATATCTCACTTCTTTTTAAAGATATCAAAAATTTGTCAACTGATAAAATGTTTCTGATAATATGATTAACATTTTATCAGTTGACAACTTTTTCATATCTTCCACAGGAAACGAGGTCATCGAGCTGAAAGTTAAAAGATAGGGCTTCTAGACGGTCGCGGCCGTTGTCTAGAGAGTCACGGTTCTCTTTCATATTGTCGAATTAAAAAAGCTGGGACCGGAGAATTCGAAGCCATCGCTTTTTTTAATCTACGAAAAAGCGCGGCAAAATCGTAATTTTCATATTTTCGCCTCGTTCGAGCTACTTTCGCAATTAAGTTTGGTTTTTTTTGTTGAAATACAGATTCTAGAGACGCTAGAAATCATTTTCATACCAAGAAATCTAAATTTTGTCCAGAAAATCAAACTAAATTCACAGAAATTAATGGGCGAGGCCCCGTAAATTGAAACGGAAGCCGCCCGCGAAATTTTCCAGGTCCCAGTTTTATTTTTTTTCGACAAAAAAACCAAAAAATGCTTTCTGAAACACGCCTCTAGTTTCTAAAACCATTCGAACCACTTGTAATGTTCCCACACTCTAACAAGTAAGCTTCAAGTTTCGACACCTGACATCCAACAAGAAGTTTCAGCTAGCCGAATTCAAGTGGCTTGACTGAGTAATGGACTAACTATGCTCACTTTCTTTTCTCCCCTTCCAACCCCCTCATTCTTCGTGTTTCTTTTCTCTGAAAAATGATGGCTCCCATGGGTTCGATTACTACATTTTTTCTATGTGACTCTTCTTCTCTCCCTTTGAAAATTTGTTCCATTCTTACATAGACAAAAAAGCAACAAGCTTATTATCACATTTATGTTTTCGTCAAACCAAAATTTTCGAAATTCCGCATCTCTTTCATTCATCTCAAATGATGCCTATTCCAGCTGCAGTGAGCACAGCCAATGTAGGTGCTTTGCAAAGTACTATGATTGATTTTAATAATATGGTGAGTTTGGCTGAAACTCTTTGAGCAATTTCGCTCCACTGACAATTCACTTTTCAGCACCAAATCGTGTCGCATCGTGTACCGACTACACGGATCTCTACATTTCTTGTCACCCTCATCTCATTTCTTCTGGTCCTGGTACTAGTATCCACATGTGTTATGTGTATAACATATATTCGTAGAAAACTAAAACGAAGGCAGGAGGTAGGGCTAAAATCTACAAAAACTACAAAAGCTATAAGGATCTTTTAGAATGGTCTTCTTTGCCGTGACGCCACATCGGAAACTCTCATCGAATCGACATTGATCAACAGTGAAACGCAGACGATGTACAGTGCAATTGATGTCTGAAAAACTGAAATTTTATATCTTGTCGTGTTGACTTTTTTCCTTAAAATATGATACTTACCGTTGTAAATAAACCATGGGTATGTGGACATTTGGACACACAGATTCAAGTTTTTTCCTTTGTAATCGTCATACCATAAATGATCTGATAAAATTTCACCTTGCGCTCAATTATCTTGGTTCGTACAAGAGATTAAAAAAAACCTGCCAACTGATAAAATGTCTGTAATATTATGAGAAACATTTTATCAAATGACAATTTTTTGATAGCTTTTGAAGCAACCGAGATAATTGAGCTCAAAGTGCATGCATAGGGTGTGCTCCTTTTTAAGGTATCGCTTGTTTCAAGCATAGGTATGTTTATATTCATTCTGAAGCTCTTGATTTCGCAAATTCGCTAATTTAAATGAAAGTGATTATGGACAAAAACTATAGCTAATGGTGGGCGGCGAGTGTGACCGCGTAGGTCAGTCGGTAGAAGCAAGTCTCCAAAATTCGGTACTTCGAATATTAGCCTTACAAGTTGAACGAACTGCAAGTTCGATGTCTTAACATATCCTACTCTGAGATCATGACATACACACTAAATTTCAAGACATCATAAACCAAGATTCCCCAGGAGAGGATCTGCTTTCGTAGAATCTGCGAAGATGTGTTTTTTTCTTTTTTGCTTCCCCAATCCTATGTGTCCGATTTCAGTCAAAACAAGCATATTGTCACAGCGAACCTTCGCTCTTTCTCTCTCTCTCTCTCTCTCTCTCTCTCTCTCTCTCTCTCTCTCCATCTAACTCAAAAAAAAACCACAAACAAATGTTCCGCTTTTTCTGAACGTCTGTATCTCTCACTGTCCCATACTATTACAACTTCTCGTGAGCCTCAATGTGTGACGTCATCAGGAGGATGTGTCCTATGACCCAAACAAACACACATAACCTTTACTTTTGAACTCTTTACCCATGTGCTCCAAAGAATTTTCGGAATTTTTGAGTTCAAAAGTTTTTTTGTCCAAGCAACACGAGATTGCTCTTTAGTGTTCAGACCCTCTATTGTGAGGTTTTAGGAATCTGATACTCCGAAATTCCAGGATTCTGAGATTCTAAGACCCAAAAATAGATATCAAAGTCTTTTTGGCCTTCAAAACCCTAAAATTGCAAATCCCAAAGCGCAAATTGTTTTCAGCATTTCTCTCTCAACTAATCTTATTCCCAGAAGCGAGATACAAAATCTGTTTTTCGTTTTTGCCAATATTCTGTCTGCTCCAAAAATCCTTATATTTTTGGATTCTGGCATAAGCTCAGATTTCCGGCATTGGATTTTCAGAAAACTTGATTTTTAGATTTGTAATTTTTCAGTTTTCCAGATTTTCTCGGTTCTAAAGCTTCCAGATTCTCAAACTTCTAGATTCTTAGATTCCTAAATCTATAGATCTCTGAGCTTCTTAACTTTTGAATGGTTGAAAAGCTGACTCTAGATTCCTGAAGACTTGACCTCTCAAATCTCAGAACTCCCGAATTCTTGAAATGTTATTGCTCCAATAGAAACCCACACTATACGTTCACTTTCAATTATCTCGATTACTGTGGAAGATATCAAAAATTTGTCAACTGATAAATTACTTATCATAATATCAGCAGTGTTTTATCAATTGACAAAATTTTGATATCTCTCACAGGAACCGAGATAACTGACAATGAGCTCAAAACGTAATCAAGTTTTATCAGTATAGAAGCCTATCCTATACATGCATTTGAGTGAAATTATTTCAGGTACTGTTAAAGATATTAAAAATTTGTCAATTGATAAAATGTTTATCATAATATCAGCTTCATTTTGACAGTTGATAGATTTTTGATACCTCTCATAGGAACCCAGATAATTGAGCTCAAATGACATTAAACTTTGAAGAACTATCCTAATCGAAATTTTAGAGTTTAGGCTGATTCTAAATGTAGGCGATTCAGTTACACCCCTCTCGCAAAAATTTCCTATCCCAAAATGTTTTTTCTTTTTTTTTGGTTGGTCTGTCATCAGTGATGTCCCCCTTCCCCTGCTCCCATGTGTATGTCTGTGTCGGTCTGTGTGTGTGTGTGCTCCGCGAGCACACACGTGACATCTTATTTTGCTTTTTGGCTGCTCCCGGCTTCTTTTATCATTAGGAGGAGAGTGATGATGCTCAAATATTTTTAAGTATTAAAATAGTGAAATTTGTTTAAAAATGGAAAGTTGTGTACTGTCGACTGTTGGGTGTTTGGTCGGGAAATGCAAAAATTAGGAAGAGGAGAAAAAACAAAATGTTGGTTTTATTATTTAGATGAGCAAAATTTGATTTTTGAGTTTTTGTCCTAATAAACTGATATTCCAAAATTCCAAGGATCCAGAATTCTGAGCTTTGAAATTAATTCCAGTTCTTCCAATTTCGGAAAATCAGCAATTTTTATTTTTATGGCGGAAGTGAATCACCAATCATTGCAAAATCATTTTTTTTTGTTATAATATCAAAACATGTTATAATAATAGACAGAAAAATGAACAAAAACATTCAAAGTCCTTTTATTTTTTGTGTCTCTGTGTTTCGCCAAATTCTGGTTTAGAAGACAGAAGATGATAGAAGAGGAGTGTGATTAGGTTAGAGAGGAAGTGAATAATTTCTTTTTGGAAAATCCAATTTTTTGGATTTCCAGGTTATGGTTTCCATTTCGTTCGGTTGAAAATCGCCGACCGCTGACCCAGCCGACCGACAGCCGTCCGAGCTGACCGGTCGGTCGGCGCGCCGCACCAAAATGCCTATATTTGCGTCCGATCGTCCGTCCGATCGGTCAGCTCGGTCGGCTGTCGGTCTGCTCGTTCGGTGGTCGGTCGGTCTAAATTTCCCGACCGAATGGAAGCCTTATTCCAGGTTTTAATTTAGAAACGTGATTTTACCAAAGTTGTACTTTTTAGATCACATGTACTGAAAATTTTTACGATTTTTACTTTTTTTGTGGGTCTTATCAGATGGAAAGTACATATAAAACCAAAGTTCAGTCTACAGTTTTTGACATATGGACGTCTAGGAAATCTGTGTGCCCAGATGTCCCCTTGACACCTTTAAAATTCTTCAAAGGTGCTTTACGATGAAAACTCTCTATTGCTTCATTTCATGCAGAGAACCATGTAAACCTGTAATAGAAGGGCCCTCCAAAGGTACCTTGAAACAATAGAAGGGCTGACCCTTCTAATCCAGTTCTTACGGTACACGAAGCTAAATGATTTACTGAGCAAACCATCATCTTTAAAAGCTAATTTCTATCTTCCGACATCTGGAAAACCGGAAAACGGGGTACAAAGTACAATCCTCCCTATTCTATACACTATGACCCAACCATCTGCTCTTCCTCTCGTTTCTCATCAATTTCTAACGAAGCCTCCCCATCTGCTTTTTTGATTCTTTGCGTCTTTCCAATCTCTCTTCCCTACAGATTTCGCAACAGTAAATATACATAAAAATGTATAGAGATGTTGCATATATAATTAAGAAAGTCACTTCTCACAGTAAGAAGTCGGGTACTTCTCTACTTTACACCTCCCTGCCTCATTCACCCAAACTACCAAAGTGTCTTCTTTAGTCTGCCCCAGATTTTTCTAGATCAAACTGGTTTCGTACTCCTTCGCTAGTACAGTACTTTGACTTCTTCCTATTAACTACCTATATTACTTGATTTTCAAAAAAAGAAAAGCCACGTGATTAATGTTCCTTTGGGTCGAAATATCAATAAGCTCCGCCCCCATCTCCTTGCTTCCCTTTTTAAATAAACACACATGATGTGTGTATATGTATAGGTGTGTGACTGACTGATAAGCCACTTCAATGTTCTTTTAGGAGTGACCAGTAGAACGAAAGTTTTTTAGAGAGAGTGAAACTAGATTTTTTTGGTTAATTAATTTTTTTTCGAAATTACAATCAGTAGGTTTTTTGCTTAACTTAAACATGGTAAAAAAGAATCGCGTGCAAAATCAAACTTTGGTGTTTGCGGACTGAACGATCATCGGAAACGAGTTAATTTGAATTTTCCGGTTTTTTCAAATTTAATTTAGAAAATCCAGAAAACGTAATGTCTCAATGAGCCTTCTTAAATCCCATTAACAGCTTTTACTCTATTTTAAACTGTTTTAGACTATTTTCAGCGGTTTTCAGCGATTTTCAGCACTTCCTAGCTGAAACTCCTCAAAATACGTGATTTTTCTGGGAGTAACTAATCAGCACGTGCTTCCTGTCGACTCTTTCACTATGTTAACTATTTTTCCTGCTTCTCTTTCTCTTTTTCTATCCCTATCTTCCTCTTTTTTTCGCATCTTCTCTATCTCTTGTTTCCCTCCTCGTTTCCTCCTCTTTTTCTCGTTGTAAAGATGCGATCATTTCTCTGTTTCTATCTCATCATTCGACATCAGATCATAATCTCACTACTTCGCACTTTCCTTTTTTTAACTCGGAAAAGGGATTCCCCGAAATTCGTGACATTGGATGTTCAAATTCAAAGCTCGCGCTTGTTTTTTCTCTGCGTCTCTCAAAACTGCACGCTCTTCCGCGCAGTCCAGCAGAGCGCATTTGCATAGGCTTCTCCGAAATATTTTTTTTTCGATTTTTCTTCGAATTTCTCTCTATAATCTTTATCGATAGGTTCCACCAAAAAATTAGAATCAAACTAAAAACGAAAAAGCACAAAAAATTACTTCCTCAATATATCAACCTGTCTCTTAAATAGAATCTGGTTTTAGTAGCGATAGAAGTAAAAATAAAAAAGAAAAAAAACTTCTGATGGAACGACACCGAATACTCTTCTATTTCTTATCATATCACTTGTTTTCCGCATTTCTTTCGAAATAGAGTGCCATTTTTACTATTTTCTTCTTCTATCGACAAAAATAAATAAAATTGTACTGTTACAGCTAAAAAAACTATACTAAAAGAGAAACAACATGTCGACGTCCGCACTGGTCGCTAAATCGTAAGTTTTTGAAAATTCGTAATTCCCGCCAACCCATTTTTTCCAGCGATCTCCTGAAACAACTGCCATCGTGTTCCTACTCGGTTCCCGCGCCATCCACCGATTTGGACGTCTTCTCATGGTCCAGAATATTCGAGAACGTCGCCGCAAGTGTTCCTTTGAAGCAGGCGCTTGAGTTTAAGGTTCGCTTAGTTTCAGGGTTTCTAGGTCATACCAAAATTGTCATATATTTCAGACCCTGCATAGCGAAGCCTACTACGCGGTGAATCGAGCGTTTCGAAGAGTGAAAAAGCTGAAAATTGAAATCCTGAGCACCGACGAAACGCTCTACATCATCCAAGACTCGTGTACAAAGAATCCTAATGTCGCCGTGGAAATGGTCCGTTTCGTGCTGTCAAAAGCGAGAAAAGTCAGCGAACTAGAGCTCTACTTTGAGGATTTGGACCTTAAAGTGCTGAATAGGATATTGGACGAAGTCGTCGAGTCGGAAAACGTCGAGCTGGAATCGCTGCGTGTCAAACGGAGGAATGCTGGACAGTCGGTGACGAAGATTGGAGATGTGATACGTGCCAACTCGACGACGTTGAGAGAAATCACTCGCGTTGGGATTTCGGAAGCGTCGCATGGGTTTGACGATAGAATTCGGTTGGAGAGGTTTGGATGCATGTCGTTTGATATTGGGATTCAGGCGGCGCCACATCAAGTGCCAATTCATATGATTAGGTTGGTTTTTGTTTGGGTTTTGAGCATAAAACAATAAAAAATTATCAGTATAACCGTATCTAAAAATGGAAATTGTCGCGAAACGGTGAAAAATACATAAAAACTATTTAACTGAAAATGCTCGACAATTTGTCAAAAATTGTTGAATGTTGATCTAAAACAAGCTAAATTTAAACTAACAAGATCCGTAAATTGACTTTACTCAACCTGAATCCAATATACAGTACCGGTCAATAGGATGAACAAAATCGTATTTTTCAGTTGATTCTTGGTCATTTTGGCCATTTTCAAGGGCCTGGAGCTCGGCTGTCCAGCTTCCATCACTTTGAAATTGTTGTAGGGTTAGAAACAGGCCTAGATGGAAAACTTTGCAATCACAGAGTTTTTCGAATATTCCTAGTTTTTTTTGCTATGAAACACACCCATTTGGGCTTTGTACTGAAAACGTGAAAAAATGGGTGTCTTTCAGAAATCAGCAAATTGCTGAAAAACTAGGAGTTTTCAAAAGAATCTGTGAAAGCAAATTTTCAATCTAGGTCTGTTATAGACCCTCTGAAATTTTCAAACTGATCGAAAAGTTGTAAGTCGAGTTCTAGTCTTCTGAAAATGGCTGAAAATGACCGAAAATCTACCGAAAATGCGTTTTCGTTTATCTTATTGACTGGTCTTACTGTAGCTGAAAAACACTATAACAGAAAATCGGCAAAATCGATGTTTTCCAGAATCACCGAATCCGGCGCCAAGTTCTCCAACTTCTCCTACACCAGCTTCTCTGGCTTCGATCCTTCCGAACCAATCGTTCAGAACATGTTGGACAGTGCCGAGGTGACAACACTCAAGTTGACGATGATGAACGCGCCAGTGATCGCTTCGAGACCCGGTTATATGGTAGGCAAGGTAAGAATCACTCTAAACTACAAAAACTACAAACTACAAACTGCAGGTTCGTCGTGTGAAACGCGTGGAACTTGTCGAAATCGTCGCTGAACCGCAGAGAATCAACAAGCTCGTCGCGTGCCGTCACGTCTTCGAAAAAGTGTTCCCCAACTGTCATGACCTGCTTTTCCTTCAGCAATGGGATTGATTTTGTATCATTTTTTGTATTTTTGTTTGTAAATTTTTTTTCTTCCTTGTTTAATTTGTGTACATATTTTTTTCCTTCTTTTTCAATTCTCTTTTCCCCGTTGATTATCGCTGCTTTATGTATAGAAAATCCTGTGTACATTTTCATTCTCCTTGTTTTTTTTTGCTTTTTTCCCGCTTCTGATGACATTTCACACTTTTTTCTTTCATAGAGATCTTGCTTCTTGTTTAGCCCCTGTCTTCTCCCTCTGTTCGATTTTCGAATACTGTAATAAAAATGTGAGCTTTCTTACAACGCTTTTCGCAGTGGACAAACAAAATCGCAGAAAAATAGACAGGTAAATTGGAAAACAAATCCCTAATAGGTAGATCAAAAATGTCGCAACTCCACTCACATTTCTGGTTTATTGTCCCCTATGTACTAATATGATGACGTAGACAATACCAAAAAAAACGGAGAAAGAGGGCGGAGTTTCCCACAGGAGGCCAGATGCAGGTGTGCTAAGCCCCGCCCCTTCCTCTCACGTATATAAGGGCTAGAAAAATCGACATTCGATGTTTGTGAAGTGGACCTGTTGGGCACTGGGCTAAATTGGTCTAGTCGGTCATGCGGGCTACGGTTTGCTGGACGACTACATCACTAGACTGGGGCACAGCACGACTATGGATCAGACGGAGAACAATGGGTTTTTGAAGGTGATCCCATTGGTAAATAAACCTTTTTTCCCTTTCTATGTACTGAGCCTCTACGTGGCGAAAGGGATCAACAGACTACACTTGTCTGGCTAATCCAGTACACAAAATCCGAAAAAAATCCTGTTTCTTCTCTTCATATCAATAAAGTTGTTAAACTATAAATTCTTATTTCAGCTCATCGCCCAAAAAATCATATCTCATATAAAATTAGAAATTACCAGAAACAGAATGCGGTAGTAACATAATAATCAGTATAGATTTGTAGCTAAAGATATTAGATCAAATGTTTTTTTCTGTCTAATCCAGTAATTTTTGGTTCAAAACATAAACTATTTTTTCAAAATCCTTCAAAACCATTTTCTTCTTTTTGATCGACTGGTATCTGATTGTCATGTGTCAATTTTAAAAAAAAGTGTTTTCTGCTCAAAAAAATATAAAAAAATAATCAGCTTTTTTTCTTAATCGTCCAAGAGCCACTCGAAACTGTTCGAAACACAAGGACTTATTTGAGGCACAATATTACGAATGGATTTGCATCAGAGAAGAGATTTATCGAAAGGTACACAAGAGAATTTCTAGAAACCCATAAATCGCTTCGGATGATGAATATAAAGTTTCCTAACATAATTTTCCAGGGGCTTGGTTTTGAAGGAACCAGAAAAAGTTTCCGATAACCTGCGAATTCTGAGAAATTTCAAACAGGTTGCAGCTGGTTCTTAACTATTTTTTGAACAAAATCATAAAAATATGAACGTTGTCCAAAGACTGAGCCTTTAAAAATAAGCCGTATGACGTTGGTCCGTCCTGAAGCCGTCCAACAACCGACCAGAAGTTGCTGACGACGCCCGAAGCTCTTCTCAATAAAAAGTTATTAAGACCATCTAGAATTCACGGCGACCTGGATATTAATCAACAAAGTTTAAATTAATTTACAGGGCCTCTCTATAAATTTGAAAGAAAACTCTAGAAGAATTTATATCCCGAAAATGTATGATTTATCTGATTTTTGACACCTTAGTTGCGCCTTAAGAGACAATTGTGCAGTGGTTCGGTCCCTCATAAAAATCCACTTTCTCCTTATTGTTTTTTTCTTCCGTTTCCACGTATCCATTTCCACTCAACCGACACCCCTAATTCATCAAGGAAATTGATTCCACTCTCCACTATCTTTTATGTCTTTTCTTTTCTGTTTTTTTGTGGACCGATTCCATCGGAAAAGCCACGCCCACAATTTTAGGAGCTCCTTTCTTTTCACACTTCCACCTTCCATTGTTCGAGTCGCCACCTGACTGACGTCTTCTAGTTTTCTGAATTCTCAATTCTTGCACGTCATCTCTAAAAATGCTCCGATTTGTTTTGTCCCTCGCATTTTTCTTGGCTATTCTGACTGTATTTTCTGTTGAAGGACAACGTGTATTTGATATGATGGATGAGCCAAAGTGAGTTCAGAAATATAGGTCACCGTGTTCTAGAATATCAACATGAAACATTTCCAGGACTGCATCGAACGGACCATCTGCATTCTACCAACGCAAAACTTACCTCCAGCCGTTCTACCAAGCACCAACTCAACTTTTTTGGAGACGTTCTGATTGAGAGAAAATTGTTTTTTCTAATGAATTATTTATTGTTAATTATCAAGTTTTTTCATAATTAGGATGATTAATTACACTACAAAAACCTCTAAATTGGGAATTTCGGGTAGCGAAGCTCGGCGGATTGACGTTGACGTGGCGGATGATGTGAGGTTGCTCAGAAGGCGACCACTGAAAAGTGCTAAAAATATGAAACGAGATTTATGATTCTAATAGTTTCGAAAATTGCTGACTTCCGGAGCAATTTTGTGGTGGAAATTTCGAATTTCCGGAGAATCATACCTGGATATGTACTGCATTTTTATTCGTGTTAGACGATCTTCTGGATGACGACGGGATGTGGATACAGAGGAATTGGAAGAAGAAAATATGGTTGGGCAGAAGAATTCACTAAAAACGAATATCATAAAACCTGTATAAGAAGGACCCCCCACACTGTAGGTTCTAACTAGTTTATCTCGGCTCAGTCCACTTTGAGCCTATATATCTCGGTCCCTGTGAAAGAAATCAAAAAGTTGTCAACTAATAAAATGTTTATCAGAATATCAGCAGTATTGTGTTAGATAGCCACTTTTTGATATCTTTTGCAGAAAATGAGATACGAAGGCTCAAATTTGACGAAGCGTCCTGTTAGAGTGTTTACGGTATATTGGCTCCTATGTCAGAAATGAATAAAAAGGGTTTCTATTGTAGTCTAAATTTTTTTTTGAAAACCGGAGAATTTCGAACCACAAAGTAGTGTATCCCCATTTACCGTAACGCCCACAAATTGAAGCAAAGCCATGAGACGAGACAAGTGATGCCGAATATAATATAGAGAGTCTCACGGTACTCGTTCAGCTGAGCTAGAATTGTGCCAGTCTGAAACGGTCCGAACATTTCTTCGCGTCGTTTTTTATTGCCCACAAAGATGGGGAATACCGATAACATTGGGAGGATAAAGTGTTTTGTGAGCAAAACGATAGTGATTATTTATTAATGGACTAGAAAGTGAGGGGATATCTTCCGTTTGTCTTCTCACAGCTGACTTGTCAGAAAAGTGGACGCATTCTTTTGCTCGTTTTTTGGCATTCCGACGTAGACAGGATTGGAAAGTTTAAAAGAAAATATTGAGAAGCTGTCTGAATCTCCAGTTATTCAATTTCCAGGCAATCAACATAAGTGATGTGCTTTTATTTACCGTAAACACTCAAATAAAGTGACATCCCTTATTTTCAACTAATCAGACGAGATGAAAACTCCTGCCGGCGAGGGAAACTCAAAAAAAGTCCCGTGGCGCACACGCGGCAGGAGATTTTCTAATTTTCGTCAACTGATTTTTTCTCGCCGGCAGGACTTTTTTGGCTTGTTCTCGCCTGCAGGAGTTCTCAACTCGTCTGAGTATCGTAAACATTCTAATAGAACGTCACCCGTATTTAAGCACATGTATCTCATTTTCTGTGATAGATATCAAAAAGTGGTTAACTATTAAAATGTTGCTGATATCATGGTGAACATTTTATTAGTTGATCATTTCTTGATATCATTCAAAAGAAGTGAGATATACAGTCTTAAATTGGACGGTCCGGGTAGCGTTCTATTAGAGTGCTTATGGTATATGCCTTTTTATCTCGGTTCCTGTGACAGATATCAAAAAGTAAACAACTAACAAAATGTTTTCGATATTATAATAAACATTTTATCAGTTGACCACTTTTTGATATCTTTCACAGAAAACGACATACATACGCTCAAAGTTAGTGAACCGCTAGGGGGATATTCTGTAAGAGTGTTTACGGTATCTCAGTTTCAGGAAGAAATATCAAAAAATGATGTCTAAAATAATTGTCAGATTTTTTGGCATTTAACTTATGCTAGGTAAAAGTTACAGAAACGGAATTTCCTTCAACTAACCAAGAAAAAGTAGACAGAAAAAATAAACGGAAGAAAAAAGGTAGTCTAGCCTTCCATCGGAAGACATCCAAGTTCCAAATCTTTACTAGAAAATTGGATTACATCGTTCCCAGTTTAGGAAAAGATTTGCCTCCTTCTATGGTTTTTCTCTTTCTTCAAAACACGGGAAACATGAGCCAATTTTGTGCCGTAGGGTATAAACTACAAGCTAACGATTTAAAGGCACCGAAGGGAAAACCTTGGGGAAGAAGAATTTCGAGAGGAAAAGAGAGATAAGTTCCAGAAAGTAGTTAGCTTCTTCTTCTACTTATTTTCTACACAAGAAGAAAAATAGATAGAAAAGTTGGGAGGGAGGTAGAGCAAAATAATCACTCTCACTCGTCGGATTTATGAGCTTTTTCAGTGGATTTAGTGGATTCCTAACAGGTGAGAAAAGAAGCTCTATGGTGGAAGTGGAGTTCTAAATGAATGGCAAGAAGTATGAAAGGCAAGAAAAATGAATTTTTAGTATCAGGTTTTTAGTTGATCTGAAAAAAACTTCAACTTTCAGAACTCGCCCAGGTCACTTTTGACAACATAGAAACATGTATTTCAGCTGATTTTTGTCTGCATCTATCAAGTTTCCTATCATTTCGAAAGTTGCGGAGTATGTAAAACAGACCTAGATTGAAAATTTTGCACAGAATTCTTTAGAAATTCCTAGTTTGTCACACTTTGCCAAATTTTGAGAAGCACCCATTTGTCTCATTTTTGAATTGAAAACATGAAAAAACAGGTTTCTTTCAAAAATTGGCACATAGCTGAAGAACTAGAAGTTTTCGAAAAGTTCTGTGGATGAAAAGTTTTAAATCTAGGTCCGTTTTAATATTTCCAAAAATTTTTAAGTGATCAGAAACCGGAGTTCCAGACTGCTGAAAATGATCGAAACGGGCGAAAATAAACGTTTTCGTATACCGTAAACACTCTAATAGAACGCCACCCGGACCGTTCACTTTGAGATTTTTATCTCACTTCTATTTAAAGATATCAAAAATTTGTCAACTAATAAAATGTTTATCATGATATCAGCAACATTTTATTAGTTAACCACTTTTTGATAACTTTCACAAAAAATGAGATACATGTGCTTAAATACTGGTGACGTTTTATTAGAATGTTTACGATACTCAGACGAGTTGAGTTTTACGATACTCAGACGAGTTCCGATTTAAACCGGACTTTTGAAATTCCACCCTTGAGAACATTTCATTACCTAGAACCCAAAATCTAATCTAACGGAAAAATCTTGAAGGTCTTCATTCATTTCACCTGCCCACATAACTCAATCTTACAAAAATTTCTGACTTTCAGATTCGTCATTACATAATCCTGAAGTTTTGATCTGTTGGTTTTCGGGAGCATTCTTTTACACAGATCACACACCTTCTTTCCCGTTTGCTTCTTATTTGTCCTCTAGTTTGCTCGGCTTAAAATGCTGCGTCTCCGCAAAATCCTCAAGTCCACTTTTGTTGTTCTCCATGAGCCCGCGCATGTGATACTAGGAATTCTCTTCTTTTTCTTCTTCTCATTTTTGATGTTACATTATTACATTCTTCTCTGAAGAGCTCTATAAAAATGACTTTCTTTTTTTCTTTTTTTCAGTAAGAACCATGGAGGCCCTCATAACTCGATATGGGCATATTCTGAAGAGAATACTAGAAGGCTGAAGCAGTGTAAGTTACTCGTGAAAAATTTCTATTTGATTGTAAGCATCCGTTTTTCAGTCAATCCCTTCGGAAAAGTTCTTTCAACCTTCGTGGTTTCATTGATTCTTTTCCACCCGATCTGCACTTAAGATCAATTCATCTCCAGGTGGAAATCTCCACTGAAATTTACATGATTGTCAATTTCCTGAACCCGGAAGGTTCGCCACTTGACATTCGTTATGGAGCAGAACGAGGAAAAACTGTGGTTGTCAAAAACGCGATTTCGAAAACCAGAAAGGAGAAAGTGTTCGAGAACGAAAACTTTGTAGACATGTTCTGCAACGATTTCTCCATTCTTCAACGATTCATCAGCCACCAAAAGGTTCCAATGGATGAGGTGTCCTTCAAGATCTTTCGGGAGGATCATGCAGGAACTTTCGCAAAAATTGGCAGCATGCTCAGCAAAGGGAAACCTTTAACAACCAGGAAAATCGCCTTGAAAGTGTACAGAGTGGAAGAGATCATGGCCATTTTCCCATACGTGGCACCAGGTGTTCTGAAGGATAACTATTTTGAGCAATCGAGAATGGGAATCACCAGGAACAGTCATCAATTGAATTTGACTGATGTGGCTAAGCTGGAGCAGTGGAAGAAAGCGGATACGGTGGAGATCAAAGATTTCACGGTTCGATATCCTAGCAGATTTTTACACTTTTCTCGTGTTGATACCTGTTTCAGAACAATCTCAATGGAGGATATTGAATCATTGAAAAATGTGAATACTCACTAAAAAGATATTTTATCAACCAATAATATTCCAGGCTTTCCTCAAAGACGACACTCCAGAATTCTTTGAAATTTCTGCCGAAGCGCCCGAAGAACATCTATACTTTGAGCACGTGATGAAAAAGATGGGAGGAGACTGGACTGAAGAACGGAATCGAGACCAATTGAGAAGATTCAGACAAGTAACTCCTGTGGGCAACAAAGACAAAGTGGCCACGTTTTTGCTTTTCTATTCTTCTCTTAAACTAGAGAGAAATTGTTTGTCTGAAGATTAATTCGATAAGAAAATGTACGGCGACTTCTTTCGTTGGGATCGTCTTATTTAGCTTTGGAAAGCTTTTCTATATTTTTTATATTAATTTGTATTTTATAGCTTTGGTCGGAAATAATGAAGTCAACCTTTTAACACATGGACTTTGAGATTTTCGAGCAACCCGGTATACAAAAAAATGAAACTGTTTGAAATGAGTTGAACTTCTATAACTTCTAACTTGAACTTCTATACACTTGAACTTCTATAAAGGAAGAGGAAAGTGGAGAAACAAATCAGTTCTCGCTTTCTCTGGGCTCCAGAGAAGGTAACCCGGGTATCCTGGGTCTTGGGTCCTGGATCCAGGTCACCCGGATCCAGGTCACCCGAATCCAGGTCACCCGATCCAGGTCACCCGATCCAGGTCACCCGGATCCAGGTCACCCGGATCTAGGTCACCCGGATCCAGGTCACCCAGATCTAGGTCAACCGGATCCAGGTCACCCAGATCCAGGTCACCGGGACCCAGGTCACAGGTCACCCGGATCCAGGTCGCCCGGATCCAGGTCACCCGGATCAAGGTCACCCGGTCAGGGTCACCCGAATTCAGGTCACCCGGTCAGGGTCACCCGGATCCAGGTCGCCCGGATCCAGGTCACCCGGATCCAGGTCACCCGGACCCAGGTCACCCGGGACCTAGGACCCGGGACCTAGGACCCGGGACCTAGGACCCGGGACCTAGGACCCAGGATCCCCGGGTCACCTTCTCTGGAGCCCAGAGAAAGCGAGAACTGATTTGTTCCTCCACTTTCCCCTTCCTTTATAGTATTTCTTCTGAGGTCAATGGGGCATCAAGGGTCGTAGATTTTTTGACGGAAAATTCATTTTTTTTGAACACTTTTTTCATCCGCAAAAGGTTCTCTCCATCACGTTTAGTTAACTATTGACTTTTCACTTTTGGAATCTGGGAAACATTTTAAATAGATCCTTCCTTTGACCGTAATTATCTCGTTTTCTGTTTGAGTTAACAAAAAATGTCCAACTAATGAAATGTTGCTGGTTTTAAGACAAACAAATTTGCTTTTTAAAGTTTTTGGATATCTTCTACAAGAGCCAAGATACATTGACTCAAAGACTCGCAAAGAGTATTCGAATTTTTTTTGGTCGACCAATTTTGCAGATCTGAGTGTGCGGAGCCAATCAGAAGTATCTTCAAAATTCTTAGATGTTCAAATGTACTAACTTTATGCAACTCATTTCAAACAGTTTGATGTTCTCTGTACATAGGACAGTTGGTCGATGCTCGAAAATCTCAGAGAATGTGTGTTAAGTCCCACATATGAAAATCTCAAGGAAAGCTATCGAGGATACGATTTTTTCAAAATCTGGTTTGGAATATCAAGTGCGTTCATCCGGATTACTGGGTGAGTCAAAAAACCAAACAAAGCCAAAACTCTTATCAATCTATCAAAAAAAATCCAAAGGTTAAAATAAAAACAACTATGTAGAGACTTAGAGATAGAAACATTAATAAAACTTGTTTTTATCACTCATTTTTGGCAGAATTAGACACCTTATGGACGGAAAAATGGAGGGGGAGTACAAAGTACTGATTGGCAGAAAATTCAATCAGATCGCTTTTGTTTTTTTTCTCGTAAAAATTAGTTTCGTTTGAAAATTAAAAACTTTCACCTCAAGCTCCTCCTAACAATTTCCCAACTCCATATCAGCGCTTATCACTTGACTGATTTGTTTATTAGACACACCAGTCAACAGCACGTGTACTCTAGTCTAGATTGTTCTACAATTTTAAAATAATTGCTACACATAAATAATTCTGTCGAGTTGTGTGCTCTCCTAAATTTCCAGCCATGACAAAACCACTATCCAAATTTGGGTCGGTTACTTTTGCGGCTTGCGTTGTGGCTTTTTCAATATTGCTGGTTTTGCACAAGCCTTTGCCACCTGGCTTCTGTGAAAAATCGTCAATTGATAGAGTGATTCTGCATTTGTTTGAGCCGGTTTTACGAGCGTTCTATTATTATCCAGTGAGTTTTTTTTTAATTTTGCGTTTCATCTAAAATTGGTGAAAAACCTAACTTAATGACATTACTTCAGTCATTTTTTTAAGTGACCAAATTTTAATGTTTTAAAATAATATAACCAGGATACCGTCCAACACTCTGATAGAACGCCACCTGGACCGTTCACTTTGAGTCTATATATCTCACTTCTTTTGAAAGATATCAAAAAGTTGTCAACAAATAAAATGTTTATAATGATATCAGCAACATTTTATTTGTTAGCCATTTTTTGATATCTTTCACAGAAAATGAGATACACGGGCCCAAATTTGATTTCGGTGACGTTCTATAAGAGTTTTTACGGTAATTGAGTTCAAACACCTTAAAAGGATATTGACCCCCATCAGTGAGTTTTCTATACAAGTTATTTAAAATTAACTTTTTGGATATTTGAATTATACAATTTGAGCCCGATTATCTCAATTTCTATGAAAGTAAAAAAATCTGTCAAATCAAATGTTTGTCATATTATCAACAACATTTTATCACTTAACATATTTTTGACATCTCTTATAGAAAATGAGATGATTGTGCTAATATAAGGGGCGCATCTATTAGAAGGTTTACGGTACTTTACGTTTTCCAGTCCCACTACCTCTTCTCCACACCAGAAAATCAAATATGGTGGACTCGTCTCTCCCTGAACACCCTCGCCAAGACGATGGGTCCCTTTAACTTACTGGATAGACACACTGTGCTTGTGAAAGATGCCACGTGGAATGGGGTACATGTCCGAACCTACGAACCACGGCTAGTGAAAAATGCAACTGGTGGAGCTGCCATTTTTATACACGGTGGTGGATTTGCGGTCGGAAGCGTTGAGATGTACAGTGGACTGACAAGACGAATGGCGAAAGAGTGAGTAGATTTCTTTCATTTAACTATTTTCTTTTGAATTATAGAATGAATACATTCGTGGTATCTATTGACTACCGTCTTTCCCCGGAAACAGTATTCCCTGATAATCTGCTAGATTGCGAGAAAGCAGTAGACTACTTGTTTGAAAATGGTGCTCAGGAGTTTGGCATTGATCTCAACAAAGTCGTGATTATTGGAGATTCAGCTGGTGGAAATCTAGCTACTGTTATCGCTCAACGTCGTGAGGAGAAAAGTGTGGAGCCCAAGCTAGCAGCGCAAGTGTTACTGTACCCACTGCTCCAGCTGGTAGATTTGCAAATGGTGTCGTATAGATATTTTCATAAGAGACTTGATGGATTTGCGTTTGTTGGTGAGCCAAATCTATTTTTGAATCTATTTTTCGAAGGATTTAAAGATTTTAGACCCAAGATCTGTCGCTTTTTACTATATGTTATATGCTGGTATTTCAATGGAAACGGCTCAAAAATTGGTTCCATCAGTTATCACGAATGGTCATATTAAACCAGAGCGTAGAGATGAAATTGATAAGGTTTTGAAATTGATTCATAGAAATTCTGATTAATTGTTTTTTAAAGGTTCTATCCCACCGATCTTTCATCGAAGCCACTCATCTTTATAACCTATCAAAGGTCCCAGACAGATGGGAAGTTCAAGAGAATCGAGAGGCGCAGGAAATTCTGGACCCAATAATATTCAACCCAGATTTCTCGCCTTTGATGAGAGAGAATCTAAAAAATCTTCCCAAAAGCTTGATAGTCACTTGCGAGTATGACACCTTACGGGATGAAGGAATGATCTATGCAGAGAGATTGAAGGTAAACTTACTGTTTTTACCGTAAAAACTGTAATAGAAGGGCCCCCTAATTTTCAACTTTGAGTCAATTTATCTCGGTTCCTGATGAAGATATAAAAATTTGTAAACTGATAAATTATTTATCATAACATCAGAAATTTTTGATCAGTTGACAAATTTTTGATATCTCTTATAGGAGCTGAGATAATTGAGCTCAAACTTGGCAATTCGGGACCATTCTATTATAGGTTTTAAGGTATTTTCAAGATTCTTTCGGTTTGCAGACCGCCGGAGTTCCAACAAAGTTGATAAATCTAAAAAACGGGTTTCATGCCATGCTAAATATGCATAACGAAATCACCGAGGCCTCGTCATGTTTAACAGATGTGATGGACTGGATTCTGGAGCAATTCTGAAAAATCTTACAACTCAGACTTAATTGTAAAGTGAATATAGATTCAGCTGACAAATAAAATTTTCCTTTATAGTTTTGTTTTTTTTGGTTCACCAGATTACGTAACACCTGTGATACCTCACTGCAAAAAATTTAATTATGTGGTTATTGATGCCAACTTTTTGACACTATAAAGTCATGCCCCAGGCTACACCCAAATCCAATCAAGTGGTCATTTTCCGAGAATTATTCACACCTTTTCTTTTCTGGACTAGACTATATCATTCTATGGATTACGAATATTTCAGCGATCCATTTCTGAACGATTTGCTAGATACCACCAGAAAATGGGCCCATTTCACATCGGACATTCAGATTATCATAAGCTTCTTCGGGGTGTTCCTAAACATTTTGCATCTAGAGGTGCTTTGCAGGAAATCTATGAGGGGTCAGGCAGCAAATGTTTTAATTATCGGAATTGCTATAAGTGATATTGTATATTTGATGTATTATGTGGATGGTGGAACATGGGAATATTTGAATAAAGCTATTCCACAGCAATGGTATGTTCTAAATTTACTGTTAAACATGTAATAACTCTCAACTTTAAACTTCGCGCCAATTTATCTCTGTATCTGTCAAAGATATAAAAAAGTTGTCAACTAACAAATTGTTTATCATAATATCACAAACATTTTTCAGTTGACACATTTTTGATAACTTTCACAGGAGCCAAGATAAATCAGCTCAAACTTGACCATGGCTCTTCTAAAACCTATTTTCGGTATCCCACCGGCTGAACTAGAAATGAAAAAAAGAGAAAAGGCAACATATTTTTTCTGTGAAAACTTAGATTTTAAAACATTCTAAATTTGAAAAATTGACTAAAAAATTATCCTTCAAGTTCTAGCAATGTTTCAGCATCCCCCCAAACTCTCAAATCTTTGCATATTACTCCTGGATCTTGTTCATCTTCAAAGACGCATTTCGTCGGGTATCTGCGTGGCTTGGAATGTTCCTGGCGATTATAAGATACCTAATTCTAAAGTATGGTACTAGAACCAAAATTCGGGTATTAATGAAAGCTGGAACCAGTTGGAAAGTATTTTTTAGCCTCTTATTTTTTCATTTAGTGGTCACTATGATCAATCAAGGAAGATATTTGATTATAGAGTATCCTAAAGGATGGAAGCCAGATAAAAGGTGAGTACGGGATTACTTTTTTGGGATGTTTTTTGAAAAAAAGTATTTCAGTTGCACTATGTACCCACCAAATACAACTTTCCCTTATTTTGCTCGAGTTCAAAATCCAGCTATCGATGTTTTCTTCCAAGAGCACATCTCCGAAAAATACCTTCTAATAGATGGAATTCTCAAATGCATTCCTCCAATTCTCTATCCATTTCTTGCTGTTGGTCTAGTTATAGAGCTCAAAAAAGTTCGAGAAGGCAGAAAAATTTTGATGGGGAGAGACGAAGAAAATGACATGATCCATGTGACTCGTCTAGTTATATGCATGACTATAGCCTATTTCTTGTCTGAAACTCCAGTGGGCGTTTCCCAGTTTTATATGTCGTTTATCCAAGGAGAAGGGTTTGGACCATTGTGAGCTCGAAAAAAATAAATTTCAATTTTTCTTCTAAAAATTACAGATTTCTTCTGAATAATATTACCATAATATGTGTCACAATTCTCATAATCAATTCTTCAATTCATTGCGTGTTTTGCTTTTTTCTTTCCTCGCATTATCGAGATACGGCATGGTCAATGTTATGCTGTAAAAAACGAAGGGACTCCAGTGTCGGAAGTTCCAGGAATTTGAGCATCTCTTACAGATAATTGAATGTACAGTACCGGTCAATAAGATATACAACAACTGATTTTTCAGTTGATTTTCAGCCGTTTCTATTCTTTTCGGGTTGAAAAGCGTGTCCTTCAGAAATCGGCAAATAGCTGAAAAACTAGGAATTTTCAAAAAATTCTGTGAATACAAAGTTTTCGATCTAGGTCTGTTTTACACCTTCCAGAATATTCAAAGTGATGGGGAACAGCCAAGCTCTAAGCTTCTGAAAGTGACCAAAATTGCCAAAAATCAACTGGAAAATCAGTTTTTGTATATGTTATTGACCGGCACTTTATATAAACCAAAATTTGAGTTTTTGTCAATTTCGAAAGAATTTTATATTAAAATGATTTGTGTTTTGTGAGAAATGAGTTTGAGCAAAGTTGCCACAATTTTCAGATATCTGAAATTATTATATTTAAAAAATCGAATGAAATTAGTCCAAACATGGTCTGAATTCCTTCAGCCGAATCAAAAATAGCCAACCAAAATTTTGATGGTCAACTTTATAACGTTCAAGGTTATGTTCAACATGTTATCTCATATTATATGCCCTGGAAAAAAACTATACCTGCACATCCAAAACCCATAAATTACTTCACCTCCTCTTTTTAGATCACCAATGGTTTTCACGTGAATCCTGAACCCAAACAGATCACTAGACGTTGATACTTCATCTCTATCTCTCAAATTCATCTTTTATCGTTTCTCACCTGCAAACAAAGTTCCATCAATCTTCTTTACGCGCGGAACCGATGAAATTTAGACAAAAATCACACTTATGTTCTTCACTTTTTTGGAATGGCAAGAGAAGAACTGCCTAGAATATGAGAATAGGGGAAATGAGAACGAACACAGATGAATGACGAAACAACAGGTTTCTCATAGAAATTGATAGCTGCCTTATCCCAGTCAGAAAATGGAATCTAGAGAATCGGATGCATAAAGATGCCGTCATTTTTTTTCCGATTACTTCAATTATCCAATTTTATCATTTTAATAGTTTTGAAATCAATTTTATCAGAAGGCTTGTGGCTCCAGCTCCCAATTCCTTGATAAAAAGATTATCTCAGATCTCTTCATTTTTGTGCTTTCTTTGCTTGCTCAAGGTGTGTCTGGTGGAGAAATCCGAACACTTTATGTCTACAACACTTTCTTGTCTATCTAGTTTGCAGGCTAACTGATCAAGACAGTTTGTAGTTTGTAGTTTCAGAGATAATCCAATGTATCTGTCATCTAGAAATTTCTTTATCAATGTTCTTCATAATTTTGAGCTTTGAGGTTTAAGTTTCAATTTCAAACATTCTAACAAACCGGGAAATACCTTGGGATTTTTCAAAGGTATATCGTAAACACTAGAATTCCACCCAAAACCGTCAACTTTGAACCTATATATCTCGGTTAGTGTGAAAGATATCAAAAAGTGGTCAAATAACAAAATTTTGCTGATATAATGATAAACATTTTGTTTGTTATTCACTTTTTGAAATCTTTTACAGGTAATAAGATATATGGACTCAAAATTGATCATTGGATGGCATTCGATGAACCTAACCTTTTTTCATTTTCCCGAGAAAGCCATAAAAACGGTGTGGCATTTGTTATGAAATTGGGAGGGAGGTGTCTGTGTGTGTTCTTGCTTCCGCAATCAAAAGTGTCTTGATTGATAAAGCGTTTTTGCAAAACTGACAGTCAACTATATTCTCTTGATGACGATAACACATTCTATTCTCGGAAAATAATAGAAAGGTTTTTTGTCACTGTATTTTATTTTGAAGCTATTTCAAAAAGTTAAAAAAATGTTGCCTAAATTTTTTTTTGTGAAAACGTTCATATCTTCTTCTCTCCGTTTACCTATTTGTCCTGTCTCTTTGTCAAGTACCGCCCGAGAGAGAGAGAGAATACTGAGTGACAGAGACTTTTTTTGAAAAAAAAAACATTATTTTTACCACTCGAGCCGCTACTAACCACTTTTTGTCATTGATATCAATTTTAATCAATTTTTTAAATTATAAAAAACATTTCAATTAACCCATAGAATTCGTAAAAATTCGAAACATTTTCTCATGATATTATTTGAATAAAAGTTTCACTTCTTCTCCATAGATGCAAAAAAGAACAATCTTGCTGTCAATCAAATTTTTATGTGTCTTTGAGTCGTTACCTGGAGATTCAAGCCGTTTCAATTTTTAGATTTTGAATTATTCCAAAAGCATCAATATCACCAGTTTGAAGGAGGGAGACTGGATATTTTTCGGATATTTTTTGGAGTTAGAGTGTGCATTCTGACCTAACGGTGTGTTATGAAGATTTTCTAGGCTAAATGTCTAAGAAATTGTTTTATGTCTTGTCTCCTTTAATATTCCAAAAACTTGAATTTTACTAACTTGAAGATACTGTAAACACTCTAATAGAACGCCAGCCGAATTGTCGAATTTGAGCCCATGTATCTCATTTTCTGTGAGAGATATCTGAAAGTTATCTACCATCAAAATGTTTATCATGATATCAGCAACATTTTATTAATTGACAACTTTTTGATATCTTTTACAGGGACCGAGATATATAGGCTGAAAGTGGAAGGTCCGGGTGGCGTTCTATTAGAGTGTTTACAATAATTGGGTTCAAAACCTGTAGGCGAACTCCCATCATTGAAGTTCCTATGGAAGTTATTTAAAATTTAAACTAATTTGTTTGATATTTCCATTTTACTACATAGTTACCCTCCTTGTCCGAATGTTACAAGGAAACCACCTGGAATTTCAAAAATGCATATTGCTAAACTGCATACGTATTTCAGCAACAAAACCAATTACTCATACTTTTCTCTTCCCCTCTCATTTCTCATTTCTGTCCTTTTTTCACGACAAATAAGCCTATTCTTCCTCCCCTTCTTCTTCCTACCTCGTTCGCTATTTATGAGTGTCTCTGTCTCTTCACATTTCTCGAGGTGTTTTCAACTTTGAACACATAGTGAGACACAACAGAACCAATAGACCCCACCTGCTGATGTTTTTTTCTGTTGTTCTGGAACTTTTTTCTCTTTTCACAAGCATTTTTGAGACTTTTGACAAAGCGGTTGGTGACCTGAAAAGTCAAGGATTTTGATTTAAAGTATTGGAATCTTAATTTCTAGCTATTCTAGATTCTCTGAAATTGAAAAGAGCGCAGACTATCGTAAACACTCTAATAGAATTTCTCCTCAAACCATCCACTTCAAGTCCATTTATCTCATTTTCTGTGAAAGATTTAAAAAAGTATCAGCTGATAAACGTTTTATCATAATATCACCAATATTTATCAGTTGAAAGCTTCATGATATCCTGCATGGGAGGCAAAAAAACTAGCTCAAATTTGACGGTGAGAGGTCCCTTCTATTACAGGTTTTACGGTAAATCAATCATTTCATTATCATTCTTTCCCAAAATGTTTTCTATATTTATTCTACCTTTCCACCTCACTCTTTTCCTTCAAATTTTATATGTTGCAGATCGAAAAATTCAAGTTAACCAATTGAAGAAACTCACGATGTCTACGCAATCACTAAACACATTGTTCCTTTTTCCAGTATGCGAGATTACGGTAAGTCCAATTAAAGTCCAATGAAACAATCCAAAGAACAACAATACGAACGTCCTATTCTAAATTCGCAATGATGATAGAAAACAAGCCTACACATCAAATTACATAATGAAACGAAATGGTTTTTCCTCTTTTTTTCTGCTGCTTGTCCGTTTATTCTCCGCTTGAATCGGTTTCCAATTTATATTCTTCTCTTTACAAGATGATGATGATTCGCATATAAAATCATTATGGCGATTTTCTGCGTACTTTAGACTATACAGATTTTGAAGTTAGTTATGTTGCTTGAAATGTGGACTAGATTATTTTCAAGGTACAATTTTGGTGTAGGAAACTAGATAATCCAGGTTTAACTAGCCATCCAAGCGAATACCCATAGAGTTGTTTTTTGGTACTTTGCGGTGTTTTTTTTCCTCAAATGTATTCTTTCCCAATCTATTACCGATTAAGAATTTTTTCTACATTACCAACCCGATTTAGTCTCCCCCCATCTGTGCAAATTGACTGGTTCAAACCGAACCAGACCAGTTTTCAGTTTAAAAATCCCCTCTACACCATACCACCCCTTGTTTCAAATGGAACAGTTTTTGATGTGGAAAGATGATTTGTAGCAATGTTTGTTTATGTATTTCCATTTGAAATAACATTTGGGTACTGTACTCTGTGTGTTCTAGGCTGACGGTATGGTATGCTTATTTTAAGCTTATATTCAAGCTTGTATTAGCTATCAATTTTAATATAGGCTTGGCCACAGATACATAGTGAAAGAAACTGAAAATTATTCTAAATTAGCCCTTTTTCTCAAATTAACTGGCTCCAGAGAAATTCTGGATTAGAGTGACCACTCCCTAGTTTTATAGCGTCAGGCGAAATGCTCGCGTTAGCTCGATTTATATTTCTTAAACGAAACTTCAAGTTTAACATTTTCCTGGTTGTTGAATTACTGTATCTTCACTTCTAGCGGACTTGTAGCTGACTTCTAGTTCTTCCAGACCTAGCCCATTCTAGGGGAGTCTCGGCTCCTGACATATTCGAAAATGTTAACGATCTTTATCCCCTAAGCATCCTAGAATGTAGATCAAAGATTCTCACATTTTCTATTTGTCCAATAGAGCATATTAGATCAGCACCCTCTTTCCCATATTTTCCTTCTATCTCTCCGTTTTTCTACAATCTTCTCTCCTTCCGTTCAAACCGTGACAAACTAATATCATCATGAGTGGAAGGGAGAAGGGATGGAATTTGCATAAGAAATGCCTCCACCATCTCTCTTGCCTCCCGTTTTTCGACAGTTTCTGATTTTTGGTTTTATAAGGAAAACAGCGAGCGAAATGGATTCGTCACTTTTGAATATTTTTGATTTTTAGATATCGCGCATAAATGTTGATATGAGCCTTTGAAATGAACCGTAAGACCTGTGATAGAAGGGCGCCCTCACTTTTAACTTTGCGCTCAATTATCTCGGTCCCTGTGAGAGATATAAAAATTTTGTCAACTGATAGATTCTTGATAACTTTCATAGTAGCTGAGATAATTAAGCTCAAACATGATAGCATGCTTGCAAAATCAGGGCCCGGCCCGGCGGGCCCGGGGTTTCCAAACTCGAAAAAATTTTTTGAAATTTCAGAAATTTTTTCAAATTTTTTTGTAAAATAACTATTTTTTATGCATACTCTTATCTTGAAAAAGTTTTTTCTTGCCGGAAAACCGTCCATTTTTTTCTGTTGACCCCAAAATTTTTTTTGAAATACAGAAAAAAAAAATTCCAAAAATCCGGGCCGAGACGGGCTGGGCCGGTCCCTGAAAATTCTGAAAAAAAACCCGGCCCGGCCCGGCCCGTTGCAAGTATGCATGATAGTGTAGGGGCCTTCTAATATAGGTTTCACGGTGTTGGTCCAAATTCTGCTAATATAGAAAATTGAAGTAAAAAAAAGAACAGAGGCTTATCCAAGATGATTCATACTCTGATAATTTTCAAATTCAACTTCTTGAGAGTTTCAATTTTCGGCTTCAAAACAAACCAAATTTCCATTTCCCCTGGACCCAAAGTTTTCTCCGTTCCCAAGCTTAAGGCCCCAATAACATAACCCATAATAATCCAATTCAAAATTCGGTTCAAAAACAAAGAGTCATCCCCCAGTCCATATGGTCACTTCTTCCTTCTTCCCATCCTCACCACCTCATATTTCATTGGGGTTCCCCACCCCGTGCCATTGCCCCCATCGTCTCCTTGTATCCCTCTTCTCCAATTCGATTAGCCAGATGTGTTGTCCTATCTCTTTCCGTCCTAAACTCTTTGTGTCTTCCAAAAAGATGATACACACATTGCTCTTTTTTTCGCTCTCAAAAAGTTTCTGTGTGGTTTGGTTCCAATTCGATTTCCTTTTGGCTTGACGTCTAAAATTGCTTTTTTTCTCGAAGAATCAGAAACAGAGCATTTCTTCTTTTTTGTAAACAAATCTTCTTGCTGACCACTAGTCTTCAAAATTGGAATTTTTGAGAGCGTTTTGACTACCCACCCGAGTTTCTAGCTAGTGCTATTCTTAACCCTTACATCATTGCCCCTCCCCCTCTTAACCACCGTCTGGTGACCCGAAATCCATCATCTTCAATTACTATAATTAATTAGCTTCTTCTTCTTCTTTCTCCCTATCTCGTCCTATTCTTATTTCCAATTCGGCATCTCATTAACTTTTATCTCTTGATGATAAGATAACGACACATATCTATTTATCATTTTTCACAACATCCATTTTTCCTTGACACCTTGTCGGAAATCGGACAAAAACTAGTGACCTCTAATTCTAAAAATAAGGGGGGGGGGACGAAAAAATTGGCGGTATAAATGGAGAGGAGTTTCGTTCCCTTGTCTCAGCGGGACGCTTCAGGTGTATGGGTCATTCATCTTCGTTTAGAGAAAATTTTCAAACGAGATTTTTGAAAGAGTTTGAAATTCGAAAAGGGTTTTGTCTTGTTTTGGTATATTTTGGTAATATCTTTACTATTATTCCAAATTCTGTGTGTATGTCCGTCTGTTCCTGATTAGCAGACCCTAGCGAAGTCCCCACTGAACCAAAATTTCGCAAAGTTTTATAGAAAACCCGAAATAACATCGAGATGATGCCTGTTTATTTCGATTTTGATAATATGAAAAATTGTGCTCATGAGATTACAAAAACCTCTTTTTAGGAACATTTATGTTTTTCCTGCCCTCAAAGGTAGGTTGACAAGTTCAGTTCTTCTGGTCTTACTACATATTGGTTCACCTTGGTGGTCTTGTTATCTATAACTACTTTGGATCGGTATATTTCAGTTTGACATAAGTTACATCTTCTTTTGACCCCTTTAGACTTATCAAGGACCCTTCCTCAAATCAACCAATACTCCTGATCATTAATCAAGCTAGCAGCTTCACCGCCACCAATTCGTATCAACATGATGGAAACTGCTCTCATCATAATATCACCCACAAGAATGTCTTCCAACTCCAGCACATACACCACCCTCCTCTTGTCAATCTCTTTTTCCAATCATTACAACAAGGGACATATACATTTCTCTTCTTCTTCTTTTCCGTGTCATCTCGTTTTCATGTCAAGAAAAGAGCAAACCAACTGATTTCATCATATAGATATCTTTTCATTTTTGCTCTTCCAATGAGATATTATGGCTCATTAGTATTAGTGGGTTGCTCCTCCGCGTTATTATGATGTATAGCTCCGCATTTTGTGGTGTCTGCTTACTCTGTTTAACCTATTTTCTTCTATTTTCGGATGTTTTTTTTTCGGAAACTCTCTGATAACTTGAGCTCAACATTGAGCTAATAAATTACCGTAAACACTCTAATAATTAGATCAAATACGGTACATGCCCTTTAATTCAGAATTTTCTAGAACCATAGGACCTACAGTATCCTTCATTCAAATGTGACCTGCGTCCTAAAAGTGCATGCACATAAATTTTATCACCCGCCCAATAAAGCGCACACATTCTCACATAATATTACGACCGACTCCGGCGGTCAGAGGAAAAAAGATTGACCACTCTCTTCCACCCTCACAATCACCCACACTTCTATCTTCTTTCTTCTTTCCACTTTGTGCAGTTTTTGCTTTGTCCAGGCCCTATCTGATTTCACTTTTACTACTTATCTAGATGCTCTTTGTGGTTGATCTGAAGACATCCGGACACACATAAAAGTGGAAAGGCAGCTAGAATTGATAGTCTGAGGAACAGCTCTAGCTGGCTAGCTCTAGCTTTGTTTCGAGCGAACCAATTTTTATGAACCTCAGATTGTGTTCAGCAGCTCCATTAACTTTACATCCAGTAGCTTAGCTTATACCAATCCTCCTCAGTGTTTTATGTTTCATTCTCCCCCACTGACTCGGTTTTGTATTACTCATACTTTTTACTCCTATCCCCTTCCTTCCGCTAGCCTCAGTTTGTTCACACCTGTTTCACTCGCTCGCTCCCCGTTTTGTTTCTATTTTCCTCTTTTTTGCCTCTCGAGGTCATTTAGCCCTCATTTTTCAAAAAAATCTGTCTCTGCAGATCTTGGGGCTTTTTGGCGGGTCTTTTTTTGAATGCGAGATTTGAATCTTGGTTATCTAAATTTTGTGGTTAACCTATTTTTAGGATCCTCGAAGTGGGAAAAAAAACAAATATAGTTTTTGACCTTCTTGTTAGCACCCGCCATCAGTTATAAAGTACTACACACATTAAGATAAACTTTTTCTACACTGCTTTCATATTTACTTTACTCCCACCCCCCAACCGAATGCTCATCAGAGAGCACAAAGCACGGACACCATCTTTTTTTGTTTGTACCCAAACAGATGAGAGAGAAGATTAAGTGGACTTAGGACAGAACAAGAAGAAGCAGCAACGAGTAGCATTTGGTTTAGTGTTTAGTGTAGAATATGTTCGACAGCTTTTGACTATGATATCAACTACTGTATATCCTCTAATAGAAGACCACCCAAAACGTCAACTTTGAACTCTATTATCTCGATTCCTGTTAATGATATCAAAATGTTGTCAACTGATAGAATACTGGTGATATTATGATAAAGATTTAATCAGTTGAACATTTTTTGATATCTTTCGTAGGAATCGAGATAATTTACCTCGAAGTTGATGAGTTCTGTGGACTGGTTTTAGAGGAGATACGGTAACTCTGTTCCGGAGGAAATACCGTATTCTTTATCAAATCCCTAATTAACATTGAATATCACATGCAATTAACATCACCCTATTCCCCCTTAGCTTTCTCTTCCGAAAGCCATTTCTATTCCCATCCATATGTTTCTTATTTTCGTCAAGTTTTTGTATGTACGGAATGGAGGAATGGTCGCAAAAAATTAGCGTAATTCTGAGATTTGGTGAGGGTGTTGCGCCTACCTTGGGAGAAGAGATCGTTATCGGGTGAATTTATCGAATTTTAGAATCGGTTCTCTACCACTAGTCATTGATGAATTGAAACGAACGACTTTATGAGTCATTTTTTCTCTAGGTATCCCATATACCGTAAACACTCTAATAGAACGCCACCCGAATTGTCGAACTTAAGCCCATGTATCTCATTTTCTGTGAGAAATTTCAAAAAGTGGTTAACTAATAAAATGTTGCTGATATCATGATAAACATTTTATTACTTGACAACGTTTTGATATCTTCCAAAGAAAGTGAGATATATGTATAGGCTTAAAGTGGACGGCCCGGGAGGCGTTCTATTAGAGTGTTTACGGTTTCTGGCTATAATTCGGGAATCTGAACATCTTTTAAGGAGGCTTAGTAAGTAACCTTCAAAAATCTCAACCTTTTTTGTTTACTCCTTTTCCTTCAACCTGTCAAAAAACCTTCAATAAATAAAAAAATTGGGAACACCAGTTACCCTAGTTTCTCCAATTTTCTCACTAATTTTTCATCTCCCTCCTTATCAACCAGTCGGCAACATGAAAGAACTCCCATTGTGGCGGGGCGCGTGCTATTTTTTATTACCCACCAAATTTCTCACCTAATTACGCCCCACATCCTGTTCCCATTTTTTTCTTATATATTTGGAGGTTTTTCTTCAGAGCTTTCTTTGAAGCTTCAGATCCCTAATTGCCTCATTTTCCAGATAAAAATGTCGACAAATGAACGACTATCAATACGAATAGACAGAGGCCAACGGCCAGCTGTCAATTTCAACAGCTCCACTCAATTTGTACAGGTGAGGTTTTAAAAAATGAAAAAAAAGATAATCTAGTTTGATTGAGACTACTCGAAAATTTAGCTCATGTCTTTTTTCAGATCTACGTACCCCTGAATACAAGTGTAAATTACCAACCCATCAGTCAAAATGTTGGAAATGGGTATACGGTCAAATTGCAAAGAATGCAGCAGCAATACAAAATTTCCATGCAGCACAATGTAAGAATTTCAAAGCTTGTAGTTTTGAAATCTCAAAATTAGAGAATCTGAAAGTTCGAAAACTTTGAATTCCGTTAATCTCGATTTACCGTAAACACTCTAATAGAACGCCACCCAGACCCTCCAATTTGAGCCTATATATCTCGGTCCCTGTGAAAGATATCAAAAAGTTGTTGACTAATAAAATGATGCTGATATTCTGGTTAACATTTTATTAGTTGACAACGTTTATATATCTTTCAAAAGAAGTAAGATATTTAGGCTCAGAATAGACGGCCCGTGTGGCGTTCTATTAGAGTGTTTACGGTATACTAGAGGTATAAAAACCCACAATTTATTGTTTCAATTTTTAGCTCGAAAGGAAACCAGAGTTTGTGATATTTGCATCAACTTCAGTGCATGATAAGGAAATCAAGACTACTGTAAAAGAAGTGAATACGAAGCTTCCAGAAGTGAGTATTCAGAAATTTTAGATCTAAATCGAACACTAGAATTTTCAGCTCACAATTGCCGGATCAAATCTGGAAGTGTGTGGAATTCTAAAAGGACACAATTTGACTTTTGAGAGTACAGTAGGCACAATGCACATCTACGCGAAAATCACATGCACAGGCTCCTTATCAGTACACTCGCAGAACATTGTGATATCCACAGAAGCACTTTTGAGTACGGACGACTTTAAAGCAATCTGTAGGAAACTTCAAAACGATGGAAGAATATTCCCAAAGGACGTGGAGAATTCAGAAAATCATAGGCCTGTTGGTGACACTCCCACTGGAGATTCAAAACTGATGAAAGTCGATTTTTCTTGTAATTTGGTTCATATTGGAGTTGATGGATCAGTAGGAGCATTCAAATCGGTTGTGGCTCAAAATCTTCAACTAACCGTTGCGGGTGACCTGGCGAATTATGGAAAAATTTTGGCGAAAGATCAGATTTTTCTGGAGATTCATGGCAACCAAATGAGCTTGTCAGATGGCTCTTTGGATAGTGCTGGAAGAGGATACAACGCGTTGAAAAAGTTGAGAAAAGTGGCTGATCACAGTATCTCAACCCCATCCTCCAGTACCATGCACAACGCGATTCAGTCTCAAAACGCGTCGGTTGTCGCGAATATGATCGAGAAAGGAATCGATTTGAATGACACTTTTGAGAGGAGAAGGTCTAACAAAGTGACGCTGAAGCAGTCAGCAATTGCTGAATATAAGGAAGCGAGGGAGAAGTCAAAGATGAATTCGGTGAGAGAAAGGATCACACTGATTAATGCACTTTTTGTGGCACATGAATGGAGAAGAGGTTCGATTCAAGCTAATGTGATTAAGGTAGGCCTTATAATTCTGAAATTTGTGAAATACAAATATTTTTCAGGCCAAAATCAGCAGAAACTGCGAAGACCTCGCTCAATTTTCCGCAAAAAATGTGAAGCTAAAAGTCGGTGGAACCGCGACAGTTGAAAAAGATTCAATCTGGAATAGCACTTGGGTAGAGCTGGAAGCCAAGCAGCATGTCTACTTTCATGGACAGACCAAGACCAGAACTATGGTTCTGCACTCGGATGCCAATATTTACACAACCAATGAGGCGATTTTATCATTCGAGTTGTTTGTGAGAGTTGGCTGTGTTAAGTGAGTTGAAAGATCTTAAACCGAATTCTCAAATTTAAAAATTTACAGATTTTCTTGTGAAGGAATGTGGTGCGCTGGAGAGAGCTTGGTCATCGAAACCATTGGGTCCACAATATTCAAAGAAGGATCCTACTTGGAGTCAGAAAAACTCGAGCTCGAATGCAAATCGACTTGCGAAATGGACGGCACCTGGCAACTGACTTCTGCCTGGATCCACGTAGCAGCCATGTTTACCGTACTTCAGAACTCCAAAATCTTCATCGAGGAGTCCATGAGTATTTCTGCACTATCTCTACACTTTTCTGGTTTTTGTCATGTTACCGAGAGACTGGAACTGGTGCTTCAAGATTCCGCTCACTTCTTTGGAAACTCTAGAATGGAAATTCATGTGTTCCGACTGACATGCAAGGGCTACTGTACTATAGGAGGATCGATTGCGGTGACTGATTTGACAATTTATGTCAGAAATGATCTAATCACCACGTGTACTGGGAAAATGATGGTAGTGGGATGTGCCGATGTAGTTAATGGATGCTTCAGAAACGATGCACTATGGCAAATCGAGAAGAATCTCAAAATGATTACTGGTAAGACTAATCCTTTAATTCAGTCGAGTCATCCAATCCTTTTGCTCTTTTCCAGGATCCATTGAACAATCGGAAGACGGTACCATCTTTGTGAAGTACACCATGAACCTGATAATTCATGAGGATAGTACAGAAAACTTTGGAGGACGTCTAGTATCCAGTGAAATCTTGCTGAAATCCGTGAAGACTTGTGCATTCGACGGATTGGTCAGATGTAACGAAATGCAAGTCTCCCTGCCGTATGTCGGAGAATCAGTGGTCACTATCAAAGGGCAAGTAGACATTGTGGCCGGAAGTCTGACGGTGAATGGAAATTTACAAACAGTGTCAGATGAGAATATGAAAGAGCCAGTGCCAGCTGGATTGATTTTGGGTTGCAACTTGACTGCAGCGGCGATTGTCGCACCATTTGCATCAGTTCATATTACGGAGACAGCTATAGTTCGGTATGTTTTCAGTGAGTATTTAGAGTAAAGAGAATTGCATTTATAGCCTCAATGGAATCGAGTCCTACAAAACCGAGGAGTTCAACGTTCTTCTCAACTGCGGTGCTCTCTTCACCGAAAAAGAGTCAGTGATCCTCTCGATGGCTGAAGAGACTTCGAAAACTCGCATCAAGTGTGAAGCTGTGATCTGTGCTACTACATTCTACCATCGTGGACAGATTCGATTCTCTGGACAGGAAGTGAACATATTGGCTCCTGTTTTTGTTCATGAAGGAAGATTAACCAATGTGGAAAACAAGCAGAATCATGTGAAAAATCTGTTCATTCATATTGGAGAGTTCCTCGTGAACAATGGTATTCTGGCGTCGGATGTTCTGGAGATTGTTGGAGATGGAGTTCTAGAAAACACCAATAGGATATATGCAGTGGAGTCCATGGATATTAAGCTGAGAAACTTCAATAACGATGATGGATTGATCGAATCGAAGAATTCAATGAAACTGTTGGCTGTGTCAAAAGAATGGACCAAGCTGGGTGGATCTATCAAGGCCAAGAAGACTATAGATTTATGTGCCAACCGTCTCAACGTGGCAATCCGTAACATCCAGAACCTATCTATCGACAAACGAATGGTGTTCTCTGCCAAAACTGATCTTCAAATCTCAAGTGACGTCATCGATGAATCCAAAGAGCTATCAGTTGGATGTGCCGCTCAACAATCGGTTGGTATCGGGTGCAATATGCAACTAGACCGTCTGGAAATTCTAATTGGATCAGAAAAAGGAGAAGGACCTTCCACTTTTGCAGTCTACCAAAACGCAAGCATCATTGCTAACACCATTTTGATCACATCTAATAGTGAACATGTGCAAGTTCTATTCGATGGAGATGTTCATTGCAATCGTTTGAGATTTGCCGGAAAAGTGAAGACAGTGACACTTATTGGATCTGGAAACTTGGAATCTACTTACATGGTTCTTTCAGACGCCTCTATCGCTTTTGAAATGTATTCCATAGTCAGAGTGGATGAACTGCAATGTGGATCTTTTGAAGTTCTAAATGAAAATATTCTACGGCTGGAATCTTGTGAAGGAGAGGATACAACAACTATTGTGACAGAGGATATGAATATTGAAGGTAAAAATAAGTAAAAAATTGAAGTTTTCTTAAAATTAAATCTTTTTTAGGAACCCTCTTCCTCGAAAAGAAGTTGTTCATCAAATCCCGAGAAGGAGTGGTCCGGCTAAACGGAAACATTCTCGGATCCTCTCTCCAGAGTGAAATAGCATGTGAATCCACAAAAATGGTCGTTAAAGGACAACTTGGCAATTTCAAATACGTCGAGTTATTCGCCAGGGAGAGCATTTCTTTGCAAAATGAGAAAATTAGGAATGTGGAGAAACTGTGTGTTGAGTGTGGAGAGTTGAGCATCTACAATGCTGAAGTTGAAAGTTGCCGGACTTTAAGCTTCAATTGTGATTCGCTGACAGCTTCTGGACATATTCAAGGTGACCACTTAACCACACTGGTCATTCATTCCACCAACATCCACTCAAAGCTCGATATGGAGAATCTCGAAAAACTTTCCATTTTCTGTAAACGAAGCACCACTCTTAAAGGAACATGGCAACAGATTCAAGAAATCCACGTGGATTCTAAATGGATCAACATCTCTTGCCAGGTAGAAGCAAGCCGATTAGTTAAGCTGACAGCGTGGGCAATAGCAAACACTGGACCGATTCTAGCCGAGATGGTTCATGTCACTGCGCTAGGAGCGCTGATCAACACTTCCGGAATCCAAGCTGTTGAAGATTGTCACATCATAGCCACGTTCATCCTATCAATGACTGCATTATCTATAATCTCGGGAGGTTCCAAGATTGCCATACACTCTTTGTGCCTTTGCACCAGAAATGACATATTCGAACTGGTTGGGCTCAACTATCTCTGGCTGAAGTTTGACCCGGAAACATCCAAAATGAGTGGTGCTCCACCAGTCGACTTCCAGAACTTTAAGACGTTCGCCACGTTGCTTCGAGATCGATGGATGACGTCATCGATCGATGCGGAGGAGATTCTGCTAGGATTGAAGTATATCAGCGACTTGCATGAGATCAAATGGAGCCTCGGCACCGACAACAAAGTCTATGAAAACCTTGTGGAGATTGCGGAGAGATTCGGAAACACGCCAATATCACTTTTCAATTATGGAGAGTTGGTGAACACTGTCCAAGGAGCCAAGGCAATGATGCAGGTGTTGCAGGTATCATTTTTTGAAGTAGGTCATTTAAAATAAAATTATCCTTTTGCAGGATCCCACGAACAACACCAAATCTGGCAAAAAGCAAAAGAAGAAGTCTGACGGTTCCTTGTACGAGGCGCTGGTCCAGTTCAAGCATGGAAAGTATAGCAAGGAAAATAATGACTCATCGGATACCGATATCGGATATGTTAGTAGAAGTTCGAGTGAAGACTTGAATTCTAAACCAAGTAGACCAAGGTGAGCCTCAAAAAATCTAACTTTGACGCTTATATCAATATTTCAGGTCTCCCAATCTCCAAATCGACGTCGCATCTCACAATTTCTTCGATTCTAGCCATTTGGAAGAGATTGAGGAGAAAGTTGGAAAAGTTGAAGAAGAACTGGAAAACGATCTGAAACTAGATCATATTGCCTACGCTATAAGAGAGGAGGAGGAGTTGGCGGAATTCGAAGAGCTGGAGGATGAGTTAGAGATGGCTGAGGAGGGAATCGTCAGAACCGACTTCATTGTTTGCCGAGATAAGAATATCTATCTTGCCAAGTAAGAATTTTGAATTAAGTTTCACAATCAGTTTGGATTGAAAATTTTGAATTTTTCAGATTAAAAGAAAAGATCCGAACCGTAAGTGCTCCTCGGCCAGTCGTCAATGTTCCCATCCAAAGAATGCCATCTTCAAATGACCTGGTTATGAAGAAGCTTCAAGTCAAACATGCTATATCCAACCTCGATCTCCGTTCATTTGGGAGTCAGTCTTCCCTCACCTCGTTAGATTTTGGCACTGTGCCAGATTTCGGAAGCCCCTTACAATTTTCTAGCAAACCCAATTTCCAACGATCAAAAATCCCTCTAGGATCATTCAGAAGTCCCAAAAAGCCCATGAGTCGTACTGGTACCCCTACTATGTACTCCTCAACACTTTCTAGATTCAGTGAAAAACTCTAACAAGTGACTAACCCAAAATTTTAAAACTAATCCATTACTAAAAATCTCATTACTGCCAATTATTTTTTTGTTATTTGCTCCTCCCATCCTTATTGCTCCAAAACCCCTTATTTATAGCTCACGGGTTACTGTAATTGTATGAAGTTTCTATAAAACACATGACATAATTATGACTTTTTGAAAATAAACTTTTGATACCAATTGGTTCTTCGATTTTCAGAGACATTCATTTTTCAGAAAACTACAGACTTAAAAGATTTCTCACCTCTTCATCTCATCAAACATTTCTTCTGCAAGATTCCCAATCTTATCGTCATTTTCAAAAATTCGAAATTTCCAAAAAAAAAAACGATTCTTTGATATTCTATTTAGTCGTCCGATGTTCATTCCATGGTTCAATTTTCTGAAAATTCTAAAATCATCCATGACAAAATTCTAGATTCCCTTACCATTTTTATTTTAAAATTCAGGTGCTATTATGGTCTATAATTTATTATCTCCGAATATTCTGAACTTTTACATAGAAAAAAACCGGGAAGGAAAAAAAGGACAACGGGCCCGTCAGGTAGATCAAAAATTTAACAAATAGATCAAAAAGTGTATTGGAAGGAGGCCCTCATTCTCTCTTATTGATTTTTCATCTTTCAATTTTTTTTGTTGTAATATTCATGTTGTTTCTTACAGCGTCGTACTCCGGAATCAATGTCCACCCCGTCCACTATCCAGAGAATCCCAGAATGCAAAGCTGTCGAATTTGGGCCGAGACATTTTTAGTTCAGGTACTTCTTAAATAGGTAGGATTCGGCGGCCTAGCGGCCCTGATAGTTTTTGACTGGTTGAGCTTTTTTTTTCGAAAGAACGGACTGATTGGTCCGCGGTAACATACGGCCTCAATCACGACCGGCTGCGGCCCTGTTTCCGACAGCCTTGCCAGAATGTGCCAGCTTGAATGTGAGTATCTCGGTTGTCGGCGCCAATACTTGCACAAGTCTCTGAGCACATTATTCTATGTATTAGTTAAGACTTGTGGGAGACTTGGCCAAGTCTTGTGTCATTACAATATTAACAATATATTCTTTGAAAAAATTTGTTGCAGAAAATTTCAATTTTAAGTTTATTTATTTATTCTTTGAACATTTAGGACATGCGCTAAGTCTACTAAACAATATATAAAAATATTATTAGAAAGTTATTAGGTGCTTTTTTGGAACAAAAAAAAACGGTCATAAATTATTAGCTTGGCTGAGCCCAGGAGCATTAGGAAAGAAAAAAACGATTTGTCGGAAGGAGTACAACGTACAAAATTAAGGCTTCGGAAGGGAAGGGAGGAAAACATTTTTGGCAACTTTTGTGGGAAGTTTTGATTATTTTTGGAATTTTTTAACAACAAAAAAAAAGAAGTGACAGTAAGAATATGAAACTGAGATTTTGGTGTGGGAGAGAAACAAATGAGAAAATCTTGAGGAAAGGAAAGGGGAATAATGTCAGAGAGTGGTTTACAAGCACAGAGCTTCGCAATCAGACTTCTTCTCGAAACGATTCAAGTTTCCACCGCATCCGCGGAAGAAGAAGAGTTTGCATCGATTGTCACGTGGCGAGTAGAAGTATTGGAGATTCGTACGGGTTGGTGTCTCGGACTCATTGCACACGCGGCCTGGAAATTCAAATTTTCTTTCAATCTGAAGACTTTCAAATGCATCTACTCACCTTCAGCTGGCTTGATTTGACACACACTCTTATCCTGAACCATCATCTTTTCCGTTGTCGTTGTGATCTCTTCCTCGACCTTCTCATCATTTCCCAAATCAATCGACACCTCATCCTCGGCATTCAAATCAGTTGACTGCTTTGCCAAGTCCTCAACAACGTTGACTGGACGATCTGGCTTCACTTTCAAGTGAGCCACAAAGTCCTCTCCTTCCTCCTCATCCTCTTCTTCGGTCTCTCCAACCTCGACCTCTTCTACCAACTTCTCAGTAGTAGTCTCAGTGTTTGAAGCCAATCTTGGAGCGAACACCTCCTCTGGAGCGATTCGGTGAGCATCTCCGTACAATGGACAGCAAAGTCTGGAGTTTCTGGCACTGTCAATAGCACAGTAATATCCTCTTGGGCACATCTTGACTCCATCGAATCCGGATCCGCAGAGCATTGGCTCTCCGTTCTCCAACATCAGTGGATCGGCGGCATCTGGGCACATGTATTTTGGTGTTGAGAGGAAGATTTGGCGGTTGAAGCCACGTGGCATATGAGACTCGTTCTTGACAACTCCACGTCCGACATCCTTTACGATCTCTTCAGGTTGCACTGAAAATTATAATTTGAGAAAATCTGGAATCTAGGATTCTGAAACTTACTCAATTTTGGATCAGTTCCTGGGCAGCAAACATCTGGTGGTCCTCTGCGACAGTAGTAGCTGGTTGGGCATCCGATGGATTCGGTGGAGTTTCCGCAGAGTACTGGGGAAGATCCTCCGAGTGGGGAGCGTCCTCCTGGGCACTGTCCTGGTGCGAGCTTCTCCTCTTCTTCTGGTGTGATCATTGGGGCGGCGGTGGTAGTGGCAAGTTGGCCGTTGCTGATGTCTGAAACCGTTTAATTATGTCAAAAATAACAACATTTCAGGAACTTACGTTGCACATTAAGAACGCAAAGTCGTTGGCAATCGACCAAGGATCCGAAGTTGTTAGCATTACCGTCACATCCAGAGTACTCGAACAGTCTGCATGAATCAGTTACTCTATCATAGTAGTATCTAAGATGAGCTTCTTGGCAGGATCCCTTGACCACTGGTTGAATGCAAAGCGGGTTGGCTCCGTGGCGTGGAACGGCTGGGGAGCTCTTCATGCGGAGAGCACGAGATACTTGACGTGGCTTCTCGGCGTCAAAACGGAGTGGGGCGACAACCGAGTCAATGTTGAAGTTAACATTAGCTTGACGCTTCTGTCTGAGTGGTACTTCATCCATAAGTCTTCTGATGTTCAGGGCTCCAAATACTTTGTATCCGTTCTTGGTCTCCTCTCCACCGTATCCTCCGAAGGCGTGCTTATCATATGGATCCTCCTCCTCTGGACAGCAGAAGAAATCGATTCCGTTGAAATAGCAAGACGATCCATCTGGGCATTGGTTCTTTCCTGGGAGGCACATAACTGGACGGCCATCAGAATAGCGGACTTCTGTTCTTCCGTTGGCACAAGCTGGCATTCCGTTAATGGATTTTGTTGGTCCAGCATTGTTGAAAAGATCAACAGCGAGTTTTCCTCCTTGCGACTCATCGAAGCTCTTGATTCCAGCAGCCTTTGGAACTCCTGGTGTCTTCACTTCACCGGTTTGATAATTGACAGTCTCCTTTGGAGATGGGGCAACCAGTGGTTGACCGTCGTTGGCAGTTGGGATATGCTCACGACCCAAAACTGGCTCAGCCTTGTAGGTTGGGGCCTTTACGACAGTCTTCGCGGCATGGGCAGCTGCTGGTGGGCGTGGCTCGAGGGATGGTGGGAGTGGAGTAGAAGCCGTGGTTGGGGCTGAAGTCTGAACTGTGGTTGGTGGTGGAACTGGTTGAGTGGCTGGTTGTTGAACAACTGGCTGTTGGACGGCTGGCTGTTGAACGGCTGGCTCTGGAGCAGCAACACGTGGAACTTCAGCTGGTATCTCTTCTGGCATCTGGATGGAAACAACTGGTCGGGATACTGGTGCCTGGGTCACAACTGGAACTTGTGGTGCCTGTGGAGCCACAGTTGGGGCAGTGGTGGTTTGGGCTACAGTAGTCTGGGCGACAGCAGTAGTTGGAGCCTGAGTTGGAGCCTTAGTTGTTGGAGCTGGAGCGAAGGTTGGTTGAACGGTTTGGACAAGCTCTGGAAGTCTAAGTTCGACATTTTCATTGATCTTTCCGAAGGTGTCAGCTGGGCTCAGTGGCATTTCTTGGTTGGCTTCTGGAACGATAATTGGCTCCTCATCATCATCATACTCTTCTTGAGAGTCGAATGGAGTAGTGGTTACGGTGGTGGTAGTGGTTGGAGTTGGAACAATTGGTCGGGAGCCTTGGGATCCTGGAGCTCCGATTGGGAGGGTTGGAAGGTCCTCTGGTAGCTCTTGAACTGGCTGTGGGGGAAGGGTCGGTGTCTTTGGTCCGGATGGAGTACAGATTCTCTCGCATTCAGAAAGGGTCTCGAATTGGTTGGTGTTTCCGCCAAGTCCCTCGAAGACAAACTGCTCGCAACGGAGGTTCTTCATGTTGAAGTACCATTTGACGTTGTATCCCTTTCCACTTCCAGCGTCCTTGTCATAAGAGCAACGGTCTGGAACTTGGGCAAGAATGACATGATCTGAAAATTGGAAATAGGTCATGATATCTTTCAAAAAACGCTCTTACGTGGCATGCACTTTCTCTCGCAAGTGTTTCTATCGAAGAAGTTGTTCTCGTTTCCTCCACACGATCCGTAAGAGAATTGTTCGCACTGTCCGGTCTGGCTGTTGAAGAACCAGCGTGGCACAAGATTGGTACAAACTCCGGCGTCTGGTGGCATGGCACACACGATTCTTCCATCGAACTTTGGTTCGAAGTGTGGTTGTGGAGTGGTTCCCAGAGTTGTTGGGGCTGGTGGTGGTGGAGCAACAGTGGTAGTTACCGGAGCTGGAGCAAGGGTTTCAGTACGGGTGGTTTCTGTAAATTAACAGAGTAAATAAAAAACATATTTATCAATTTGATTACCTGGAAGATCAATATTGATGTTCTCCATCTTTCTGCTGATTCCATTCTCCTCTGAAGACTCTTGAGCGAAATCTTCCTTGTGTTGTTTGTGGGTCTCGACTGCCTTAACAGCAGCCAAGGTCTTGGATCCGGCGGCGCGGGCAGAGTCTGAAGCAGAAGTTTCAACAATTTCAGTGTTCTCATCGCGCATTTCGTCCGAGTTGAAAGCGAAGTCAGACACGACTTCACCGCTTTCCGACGAGGTGATTGTCTCTGGTTCGGATGTGTGGGATGGGGTGTGGGCAGATGGGGTGGATGGAACTGATGGGGCCCTGGTGGATGGGGATGCTTGGGTGGTCGTGGTGGTATGGGTGGTTGTGGTTGTGGTCGTGCTAGAGACTCTTGGTCGGATTTGAATCTTCTTCAGTGGAGTTGTCGTGGTGGCAACTTCCTCAGAAGTGGAGACAACTTCAGCGGAGGTGGTGATCTCCTCAGAAGTGATGTGGAATTCAGAAGATGTTGGCTTCACAGTCTGGCTGGGGGTGGTGGATGGAACTTCGGATGTGGTAGTTTCTGGTGCTGAGGTTTCTGGTGCTGGGGTCTCTGGGGCTGGAGGTTCGGTTCTTGGGGACTGAGCCTCTGGAACATGCGTAGGTCTTTCCCGAACTTCTTCCTCCTCAGAAGCCATCTCGAACTCAGAAGATGTTCCGGATCCTTCTCCACTTCCCAACATCATATCTCTATCGAAATCTTCAGATGGTGACTGAGCTTTAGGGGCAACATTGACTTTTTCTAGGTCCACGACTTGCACATTTTTACCAACAGTTTGCTCTTCTTGAACTTCTTTGATAACTGGAAGTGGTTGAACGTCTTTTTCCTCTTGAATATCTTCGGATGTTTCGGTTTCTGAACTGGCTGGCTCAGTGGTGCTTGGAGCCTTGGTGGTGGTGGTGGTGCTTGTGGTAGTTGTCGTTGGTCTTGTGACTTGGAATCCTTGAATTCGTGCACTTGGAAGACGTGGCACGATCATTGTGGATGGTGCTGGTGGATGTGCTTCCTGGTGGGCGGCGATGGTCTCGAGTCCTTCAATCTTACCCGTTGCTACTGGACCACGGACCGCGGGGATAGGTGAGGAGTAGGTGGGAACTACGAGTGGGACTGTTGTCTGAATTGGAACACCGTGGACACGTGGACGTGGGCGGTGATCCTCTTCGATGGATTGATCCTCCTCATCTTCGTCGTCGTGAATGCCTGAAGAACAAAGGGAACTGATTGAAAGGGGATGCTCATGCAGACTACATTCAATTTAGAAGTTCAGAAGGAACTTAAAATGTGATTTCACTGATTTCAGTGGTGCGAAGCCGTGGTGAGACTTCATATTAGGTGGAAAGTTAGTGTTTTGTGCTCCTTACCTTTTTTATCTTCATCTCCAACTTTCACAGAACCGATGATAAACGATCCCTGCTGTGGTGTTCTACCCGCTTTCTTTTCCTGCTCCAAAAACTTGTTAGCCTGCTCTTGGAATCCCTTTGAAAGTTGCTTGAACTGCTCAAATGCTTCCTGTGCTTCCTTATCATCTGCCTCTGTTCCTCTTCCTCCTTGAACGAAGAGTCCCTGGGTTTGATTGATTCGAATTCCTGGAATAGTTGGTCCAAAGTAGTCGCCATTGTAGAAAGTGTAGCGGGATGGATCAAAGTTGAATCGGGCTGGGCTTCCATCCTTCTCAAGCTTTTCAATTTTCAGTTCTGGGCGTTTTCTAGCAGCAACTGGAGTTGGTGCAGCTGGAGCTGGACTTCTAAGCCACCAAGGTGCGGATGTAGATTGGAACCATGGAGTCTTGGTATCAGTACGAGCTGGAGCATTGGTAGTTGTGACGAATCGGTGTGGGAATCGAGAGGAATCAGATGTGATCGATTGCTGTTGGAAGGTGGAGACTGGGCGTCCGATGATAGTGGATTCTGGGGCGCGAGCTTGTTGGGATGTTACACGAATGGAATTTTCTCCTCCTTGAGATCTTCCCAAAGATTCACGTCCGAAGGATTCTGGTCTAGCAGTTGGAAGTGGTTGAGGTCTTCCAAAGGAGGAATCTGGTCTTCTGGATGGCTGTGGTTGAGCTTCTGGACGTCCAACTTGTTCCGGTCTTCTCGAGTGCTCGTTATTTACTTCTTGTCGTGTTTCAGGCTCTGGGACTCTTGAAATCACTCCAGATGCACGCGGACCTCCAGAAGGTACTCTTGAAGTTTCTGTTTGTTCCACTCTTGATCTACCAAAGTTTTCTTCCTGAACTGGGACCTGCACGGTATGGGTTCTTGGATGGAATCTGGATTGCGGTGGTTCTGGGGCTCTTGGCTCTTCTGGAACTCTGGTTTCTGGCTGGTTTCCTTCTGGAACTGCGAGTCTCTCACGTCCATCAAATCTTCCACGTTGTTGAATCAATGGAATGGATAATTCTGGAGTTGGCACAGATGGCGTCACAGTTTGATGAATCTGTGGGGATCCTGTTGGTACTTCAAATCTCTGACGGCTATCGAATCTTCCTCTGGCGAATGCTTGACCTCCGAATGCCTCTAGCTGTTGGCCGACTTCAATTCGATTCTCTGTATTTTGATTTCCAGCGGAGAATGCTCTACGCTGTCCTTGATCTTGTCCGTTATAGGTGAAGTATGTTGGATGGACTGGGGGACTCAATCCGACTAGGTTGCTGTTCGGAGTGGGTGGGGAATAGGAATCGATCTTGTCACTTCCATAGTTCTGTTGTTGACCACCAGTTGGCTTGTAAATCGGAGAAGCAAACTGACGATGATGAAGTTTTGGAGCAGGGAAAGCTTCGAGGGTTTCGGTAGTGGTAACCACATCTTCCGGTGCTTCAGAGGAAGATTCAGAAGACGTGGGTGAGAAGTTAGCATGCGGGGGTAGTGCAGACGACGTCGCCGAACCGCCTGAAGTGAATGAAAGCGTGCATGGAGAACAAGGCAAAATGGTGCAGATATCTTACATTCCAGTATGACTAAACAATGCAAAAAAAACAAACTTACTGAGGAATCGAGCGCAATGGACTTCGCATTCCTTTTGAGTGAAGAAGTGGTTACGATTTCCAGCGCATCCTCCGTATTTAAATGGATGGCAAGTTCCATCATCAACATTGAAGTACCAACGATCGGCAAAGTTCTTGCACGGTCCTGGCTCAACTGGTTGGAGACACTTCTCTTCAATCTGAGCGGCAATGGTTCTTGGAAGCGATGGGAATTGGTCTGGCTTCACTTGTTGATGCTCGACAGTGTTAACAGCGACTGAAATGTTTTTCAAGATTTAATTTTGTTTAAAATTGAAATCTAAGCTTACATTGTCTTGGTGGTTGAGCAGATGGAGCTGGTGGAGCGGCTTCTGTAGTTCTTGGAGCTGGTGGTCCGACCTCGACTCTTCTAGAAGAAGACGCTGGTGGCTGTGGAAGTCCCGGAGTGGTCAATGGTCTGGTTGGAACATGTGGTGGAGTTGGAGCAGTTTGTGGGCACACGCACTCCTCACATCCTTGACGATTGTGGAACATCATGCATGGCTCGTGGCAAGCGGATCTGTCCAATGCTGGGCAGTTTGGAAGTGTGTCTCTAGGGGAAGAGGTGATGGTTCCTGGTGGTGAAGCTTGCTTGACTGGTGGGCACGAGCAGAATGGACATCCGGAACGATCGTTGACAAGTTGACAACGATTGGTGTCACAAGCTGGGGCTTCTGGGCAAACTGGACGGTTGACGCATTTGTTGGTGCACTCTTGAAGAGTAGCGAAGTTGTTCGCGTTTCCTCCACATCCTCCATAGGTGAAGGATCTGCAGGCGTTGATGGACTTGTCGAAGGCGAATCTAGAAAAGACTCCAGCGCACTCTCCAACATCAATATCAGCTTCGCAAGTGGAAACTGGTGGCTTCTTGACGGCAGTGACGCATCTAGAACGGCATTCGTTCATGGTGGCGAAATTGTTTCCGTTTCCACCACATCCTCCATAGGTGAACACTCGGCAGTCTTGGGTCTCAGAGTCGAAAGCGAATCTTTCAAAGACTCCGTTACACTCTCCAGCGTCAACATCATTGGAGCACACTTGAGAGAAGTCTGGGGTGGCGGATGGAGTTGGTTCTGAAATTTTTGAGTTTTATGAATTCATGATAATTTGGTTATTCAAGTACCTGGCTTATGGCAGATGGCCATACACTCTTCCTTGCTAGCAAAGTTGTTTCCGTTTCCTTGACAACCGGTGTAGGTGAAGACATCACAAGTCTTGGTCTTGTCATCGAAGAACCAACGGACGAACTGTCCGCGGCAGTTTCCAGGGTCTTGTGGATGAAGACAACGGTTGACTGAAAAGTTTGGTTATGAAGTGATGAAACGGGAAGAAAAATGTGATGTTATGTTTGGATAGTTCAAAATAGGTTCAGGAAAAAAAAAACTTTGACGGACAAGAAGAAAATTAAAAACGGACAAAAACTGAGAACCATTTTGGCGGTTTGCAACTCAAAGTCATATTATAATCAACTCAATAAAAGCGTTAGAAAAGCGAACCCGAGTCAGTCGTCATGTCATCGATACCTCCGAGCAATACAGTGTTTTGTTGTGGAACTGGTGGTTGAACATGGAGTGGTTGCTCCTTCTCCTCCTCATCATCTGGCTCTTCGGTGACCTCCTCCTCTTCCTCCTCGGACTCTTCAGCAACGATTGAAGCTGGACCACGGGTGGCTTGGATTCTAGATGCTCTGGTGGTGGTAGTGGCTGGTGGAGCAGTGACACGTTGAGTAGTCTGAACTGAAGCTCTTGGGGTTTGTCTGGCAGTGGTTGGAGCTGGAGCCAATGGAGTGGTAGTTGGCTCGTCTTCCTCGCTAGTCTCCTCCCAGCTCAACTTTCCTCCGTTTGGTGTGATTCTGATTCCTTGGGTGGTACGGATCTCGGTATTTGGGCGGTTGGTGACACCGGACTTTTGGACTCCGCAAGATGCTTCGCAGTCTTCGACGCGTTCGAAGTTATTCTGATTTCCTTCACATCCTCCCCAGAAGAAGTATTTACATTCATTGAGGTCGGCGTTGAAGTAGAAACGAAGCTCATACTTGTCGCATGGCCCACGCTCCTTTGGCAGAGCACAGCGGGAGGCACGTCCGTTGGTTTGGAGACCGACTGTAAATGTGAAGGTCGAAAATTATTCAAATTAGCTTGTTAACTCACCGGCTTTGTTATTCTCTGGGCAGCAGACACTGGAATGTTGCACAACACTGCAGCGGTATCCAGATGGGCAGTCTGTCTTGGCACAGTTCACTGGAACTCCGATCTTGGTCTTCAGCGGCTCTCCGATCTCGCACTTTGGCAATCCAACTGGTGGTGGAGCGCAACGATCTTCACAAGCCTCTCTGGACTCGTAGTTGTTTCCATTTCCTCCACATCCGGAGTAATTGAATTGTTCGCACTTTTGGGAGTCTTCGTTGTAGAAGAATCGTTGGAAGGATCCGTGGCATGGTCCTGGAGTGCTGGCTCCAACACATTCCTTGGTGTTGACTTGACGGGAAGATTGGATTGCTGAAACTCAGAAAGTTAGAATTCAGAAAAAAAACAAAGGTTCTTACTGTAGCAATCTGGTCTGCTTCCATCTCTGGTTCTACTATTTGGCACCTCGATTCCTTGAGTGTTCACACAGAAGCATTGACGTCCGTTGGTCTCGCATTGAACTCGCTCGAAGTCACCAGATGGCGTGCAGACTGGAACGAATCCTCCTCGGATTGAAGATGAGGAAGCTGAAGCACGACGACGCTCGCATTCGGTACGTGGAGCACGTGTCGTTGGTACGTCTTCGGTGGTGGTGGTGGCAGCTGGAGTTGTTGTGGTCTCGGCCTCAGTGGTAGTCTGAGTCTGACGACGTTGGGTTGTAGTCGAAATTCTCGTTGTGGTTGGAGCTTGAGTTGTCGTGGTTTCAGTGGTTGTTGACATGCGGGTGGTAGTGACTTCCTCGGTAATTGGCTTCTCAGTTGTCGTTGTTGGCTCCTCAGTAGTTGTAGTTGTTTCAGCTTCAGTGGTGGTTGTGACTTGCTCAGTGGTTGTCGTTGGCTCTTCAGTGGTCACTTCAGTCGTGGTGGTCACTCTTTCGGTGGTGGTGGTGCTGGCCTCAGTGGTGGTGGTAACCTGTGCAGTGGATGTTGTGGTTTCAGTTGTTTCTTGATTATTGCTAGTAACAGTTATAGGTTGAGTGCCCAAGTCGTGCTCATTAAAGTTGAATGGTTGCTCATCGACCTGTTCAGAAGTGGCAGTGTTATCCTCGTGGAATTCAAATGGCTGTGGGTCTTCAGTGGTGGTGGCTTGTGTGGTGGTGGTGCTTCTTGTGGTCGGATACGTCTGATACCCCTGTGTAGTTCTAGTTGTTGGATAAGTGTAAGAAGTGGTAGTGACTGGTGGCTCTGTGGTAGTCACCGGAAGTGGATAGACGTTTTGTGGAGGTGGTGACGTGCTCGTCGCGTAGAATTCTACTCTCTTGACTTCTTTCGCCAAGATTTCCTAAAGGTGATTAGAGTGATAAGTGAGAGTGTTCATGCCATGCGAAAAAAACCGTTAATTGGTGTTTAATCAACTTACCTTCTGATAGTCCTCGGTGGTGCTTTTTGGCACTCCCAAGTTGGCTGGAGCGTTGCTGATACAAGCGTCCTCACACTCTTCTTTGTAACGATAGAGGTTTGGCTCGGATGGGTCAGTAGCACAGTGTCCTGAAAGTTTGGGGATTAAGGATTGAGAAGTTTTTGAAATTTCAAGATAGTTATCCCACGATTCTGAATTATTCAGCTAGAAAAATTTGTACGATATTTTGTTTTTCCCATTTTCAATGCTCTTATTTTTAAAATAAGAATTCCCCACTTACCATATGGGTAACTAACGCATTCTCCGTTCCTCAAGTAGTATCTGAGCACAAATTGTGATCGTTTTGGAGTCTCGCCGTTTTGTGATGGGCACCGCCCGCGGAATGGTTGTCGTTTGCACGGATCGACGGCTTCTGAAGCTTTTGTTTTTCGAGAAGTTCATTCCAATGAGAATTATCTTACCTGTGGCTACCACAAGGGCAGCTAGGAGCAATACGCACAGGCGCATTGCTGTTTTGTGCCTGAAAATTGATAGAATTAAAAGAGGATCGGGAAGATAGAACGAAAAATAGCTGCATATCCGTAAAAGTATCCGGAAAACCAGTACGAAAACCAAAAACGAAAAGCATGTAAGACGCGTGAATGTTTCTTTTCAAAAAGCGAGGAATGATGAGGTCATCCGGCGCCCGAGTGAAAGTAGGCCGAGTAAATAAAGTGTGAAAGTGAGAAGGGGTTGGTCAGTATCCCTCATCTATCGGAATGCGGTGGTGGCTTCTTCGCCTTTGTTGTGAACTTTATAAGCACGAAGAATGAAGAGAGACACGACGGATGATGATTCACATCTAGCAAGTTTTTCCTTCTCTCGGAAAAGTAGTGGCACGTCTTCGAGAATCTTGGATGGGGGATAGTAGTGGGAGGAGAATGATGATGATGGGTGGGATTAGAAAAACGGATGATGATGATGATGATGATGAAGCCGAGTGTGTTGTACAGTTAATTGGCGGTTAGTGATTGAGACATCTATTTCTTGAGATAGGAATGGAAAAAGATATAGAGAGAATGGTCTGGAAAATATTAACCAAGAGGTTGCACTTGGTAAACTCTGCACAGTCAAGATACGTTGACGACTCTGATAGGAGATCAGCCAACCGTCAAATTTAAGCTCAAGTAGCTCGGTTACTGTAAGAAATATCAAAAGTGTTCAACTGACAAAATAGTTGTGATATTATGATAAACATTTTGTTAGTTGACTATTTTTTAATATCTTTCAAAGGAACCGAGATAAATTGGCTCAAAGTTGGTGGTTCAGGTGACCTTCTATTAGAGTGCGTACGGTCGCTTAAGATGGGAGCTCTGATAAAAGGTTTTTTTTAAAGTTTTTTTAGAAATCCGACTAAAAAACTCTGAATAAAAGTTGCAGAATGCTACGCAGAAGCAGAAGCTCGAACTCTATGATCTAGGAGAAAATCTAGGAACTGTAGGATTTCTAGGTCAAAAGAATGACCTTTTTGGCTCCTTGGGAAAATATGGGAGTTGAGAATCTAGGTATATGGGAATTGAGAAACATTCAAAATTATAAAAAAATTCAAAATTCCAAGAATCTCAACTTGAGACAATACGAAGAATATGAAGGAGATATCAAAACAAAACCTACTAATAATAATAATGGCGCGAAAATAGTGAACGAAGATTCCATTCTCATCTTTCTCCCGTCGGCGGGAATGTTCGGAAGACCCCAGGATAAGGGAAGATATGCATCTACATGTATATCCGACCTTGACAACCGGTGAGTAACTCCGTGGATACACCATACACTCACTAAAGAGAGAAAAAGAGTAGGTTATCTTTTCTCTGGAATCTTGAAAATATCTAGGTTATTGTAATTTATGTCTCCCCCTCCTTCGCCATATATGAACAAATAATAAAATGAGACGTTTGGAGGAGATGGGAGGAAACGAACACATATGTAATAAGCGAAGTGAGGCGCGAAAGTTAACGGATTTTGTTCCGAGGGGTAATATAATAATAACTTTCGCTAGTATTTTAGAGGTGGAGTAGGAGTAGGAGAGGATGGATTAAAAAAGTAGAAACAAGTGTAGCGGCTAGTATTAGATCCTGAAAACTGGACTTTGAATTCTTAGAGTTTAGGTTTAGCAAGGCTGGAAAGAAGTTAAAGAAAAATAATGATAAGCTGATACCGAGAATGTTAAAGTTCGGTCTGATGACTTTTTAGGAGGGTTCTTCCTCTGATTCATGATGTTATAGTCTACCAGGAATAGATTCTATGAGAAACTATGAAATGAGAAATCTATAACAAATTAGAGCTAAAAAGATAATGAAGTGCAACGATAATAGGGCTCTATATCACTCCAGGGTATCAGAAAGGTCATTCCAGTGGATAATGAATACAAAGAGTGAAAAATGATCGCATCCTTTGTGCGATGGGGTGTAAATGAAAATGAAAATGGATGGATGGAAGCAACAGTAGTATATTGAGAAGGATTAGGTCAAGACAAGAGAGATACGGAGCGTGTTAGTACCAGGGGGGCTGGGCTACTGATAGGCGAAAATCCACAAAAAGAGAGAAGACACGAGAGAGAAGACCCAAAAAGTGAAAAGATATCTGAAGGAAAAGCGAAAAAAGGAGGACATGATGCCCGCTCCAATTTAGGCCAACCCCTTCACTTCTTCTCCTTCTTATTCTTCTAACCGATTGTCCGAAGGATAGATATCTCTCGGGTAAAAAGATATGGGTGGTGGTGACCGATCCGTGTCAGTAGAGTACCAACCCAAGAAATGGAAAGGATATGGGGGATAAGGAGAAGAAGGTATGTCTCTCTCCCTATGGATAGTGAAAACGACACCGAGAGTACATGGATTGTTGCGCAAGCAACAAGATCCTGGGGTCGGTAAGGAGACAAATAGGACTATGAAAAATGAACTTGCGGTTGATTGGAATGAAACTAGATCAAGTTTAGATTTAGGGTTTTAATGATAGTAACAGTGATAAATGACGGTTTTCGGAAGATGGTCGGGTGATTTCAAATTATTTGAAAGGCTTCTAACGGCTTCTAACGGAAGGGGTTTTATCGATGCGTAAAAAAGAATATAGTCTTCAAAGATAACTAGTACCAGGTACCGTATATCCTTCGAGAGATACAGTAAAACCTGAACTAGAAGAGTCCGCAAACTGTCAAGTTTGAGCTTAAATACCTCAGTACCTGTCAAAGATATCTAAAACATGTCAACAGATGAAATGTTTGCCATGTTATGATAAACAATTTATCAGTTGAACATTTATTGACATCTCTCACAGGAGTCGAGATAAATTATTTTAAAGTAAAAGTGAAGAAAAAAAGCGTTAGAGGGTTCTTCTATTACAGGATTCACGGTAGTTACATTTTAAGTCAAATTTGATATACTCTGCATTTTATTGATTACCAGCAAGCGGGTGCGCCTTCGGCGCGATTCAATCTATTTTTTTCAAATGTTCGTCGCTTCGTTTCTCACTTTTTCCAAATATTTTTAAATTTTTTCAAAAGTCCACAGACGGACACGAGGACGGACAGACGCCTCTAGCGTTTTATCAATAAGGAAGATATGAAAAGTGGCATAAATAATCTTACACATTATAGTAGTTGATCTCTTTTTGTATCTTGATTAGGAAGTACTGTAATTAGGCTCCAACAAATGGTTTGGGTAGAAACAAAGCTAGAAGCATATGAATGCTTCGTCGTCAGTATTCAGGCAATAGTGGTCTGAAACCTTAACCGAAACGGAACTTCTGTATTCTCAAGCCACTTTGCCATTTCACACCCCCCCCCCCCCCAAATCTATACGATCCTGGCCAATTTTCCTGCCATTCTCTCCTCATCAATCCGAAACCAATTCCCATTTCAAAACTGTCATAAATCGCCTCTCTCTCCACATCTCTTTCTCCAGAATTTCTATTCCCGATAAGCCATAAACTGTTTGTATAAGCCTATCCGATCGAGAAAGTGCCATCAGAAGGGATGGGCAGATGGGGGAAAAAAATAAAGTGAATGTGTAATATATCCTTTTGTGGCCGTCCCTCAAAAATCGAAAGTGCCCGTGTTTCTTTTTCTGGGGACGAGAGATCCTGAGATTTCGAAGAGACGAGACCATGAAAATGTTCCGGTTGTCTTTTCTTTCACGAGGTGTCATAAAACCGATACGATCCGCGAAGGATTTGGCTCATTTAGCTTTAGCCAAAAGTGGAAGAAGCAGGTCACATAGATTTGAAATTCTTCGGGGGGAGAAGAGTAAGGAAACGTGGAAATCCTTGAAATCTGGATTTTTCTCTGGAGTAGTTGTTGCTAATATGATAACGGTAGTTCTCGTGGGTGGCAACATAAGACCCAATTGAACGATGTTGAAAAAAACTGTCTCAGTTTGATCAAATTATATTCTTGTTTTGTATACAGGGGGGACTTAAGCGGGAAGAAAATTCTCAGAATGGCTAGGGTCAATGACTGGGTTTCGGAATGGAGTATATCAGTAGACTGGACCAGCCGGTGATGTTATCCGTGAGACGACTGGGTTTCGGAATGTTGAGCTGTTTTGAACTGTCCCAGGGTATTACAAAAGTGTGATAAAACGGGAACTTTCTTCTTGGAGTGAGTTGTTAATTAAGTTTTTGGCATTGCTCAAATGATTCGAGATGTTTTCGGTAATTCATGTTTACAAAACAATAACACTTCTAGAAATCTGTAACTTCCAGGAAACTGAGACAATTCTGGAAGTTCAGACACCGTATCTCCAATCCAAACATTCGATTTTGGGTTCTATTATCTCGATTTCTGTGAAAGATATCGAAAAGTTGTCAACTGATGAATTTTTATCTTAATATCACCAATATTTTATCAGTTTAAAATGTTTTGACATCTTTCACAGGAATCGAGATAACCGAGCTCAAAGATGACAGATCCAGACCTCCAAGTTTTTGTTGTCATACGGTAGATTCTAAGATACTTGATGAAATCTAATAGACTTTGAGTTTTATTGGTAATCTCTGCATAACTGGATTAGAAGCTTATGAGTAATTTTGATTTCGTTCAAAAATGCCCTTCTCTGCGTCTAGGATGAATATCTGGTCAAATTTTGAATGACACAACACCATTCGGTGTCAGTAGGTGAAGGACTTTTTGTCTTTTCCCCTTTCATTTTTGTCTCTCCCGAGAAAAAGAAAGGAAACGAAAACTAACGATGACCACAAGATGAGACGAAAAGTTGTCTGTGTTTGGACATTAGAAAATTCCTTTGCTGCTGCTGCTACCCCAGGATGACCCAGTTGATTTGACGGAATACGGTTGAAGACAGCAAGCAAAACGAAGAGGTTATCTTGTTATGGAATCAGTAGGTTTTATTTGGAACACACACACACACCAAGTTAGGAAACAGTGGAATTTTTATCGGGACAGCGAGAAAAGAAAAAGTCAGGGATAGGTTGTAAAATGCATAAGTGCAGTTGATCTTTGTTGGGTGTACTAGATAGATAAAGCGTTGGGATTTGAAAAATGGAAGAGTCGAGGGATTTTGGTATGGAAAGTCGGTGAATCAAGGATTGAATTGTTTAGGTTGGTTCAGGGATGAACAATTTCTATTAACCGTAAACACTAAAAGAATGCCTCCCGAGACGTCAACTTTGAGCCCATGTATCTCATTTCGTTCGGAAGATATCCAAAAGTAATCAACTAACAAAACGTTTATTACAGTATCGAAAATGTTTTGTCAGGTGATTACTTTTTGTTATCTTTCACATGAACTGAGATAATTTGGTTGAAACTTAAAAACTAGGGGGTCATCCTATGGACCACTCCTTTCTTTGAGCCTGTTTATCCGACTTTATGTAAAAGCTATCTAAAAACTGTTAACTGATAAATTACTTATCATAATATCAACAGTATTTATCCATTGACCAATTTTTGATATCTCTCATAAGAGCCGAGATAATTGGGCTTAAAATGCGCGCGGGTTTCTATTAGAGCAAATACGGTTCTGTCTTTATTTTAGAAAACCACTTGAAAAAAATGCAAAAAATGTTTATCAAAATCATTGTTTTTTATTTAAACACTTATACATTTTGATCATCCCGTCATTTTTCCAAAATTCCATTTCCGGAGGTTTTTAACATCTCCAAAAATCGCCAAGTGGCACTCCATCTCCTGTCACTTTCTTCGCTTCCGAATTGTATACAAAAACTAGAGATTGAGTGAAAATGTTGGCATTTCCTTGAGAATTCCATGCAGAAATACCACGTACCCGGTCTGGGAGATTCTGAAAATGATGGGAATAGAAACAGAGCAACTTGTGGAAATTGGTACCTCGAAGTAACTGTCGGTCCTCCCTGTCATTAGAGACTTGTTCCAGTACTCATCATAAAGTGCAAACTTTCCACCGTTCTAAAAAAATCAACTCTTATAAAAAGCTTAAATCATAAGAATCTATCTAGCTTACCGATAAAAGTATCTGATGCTTGTTGTGCCACCTAACAGCAGCATCCGGAGTGAAACCAACAGATGATGGAAGCTCTTTGGGAAACACTGATTGCAATTTCCAGTCTCCGTCAACTTCTTTATATCCATACACACTTCTTTCAGACACCAACCACATCATCTCCCTCTCTGGATCATAAAGTGCCCCATTGACTTGACGAGGACCATCCGGGAACTCTTCGGAAAGAGATGAAACGTGAGCGATTCTGTTGTTGGATGTTTTATAGACAGTAGATTCATAAAAGGCATAGTCGAAGTCAGGTCCGAATGTGTAGGCGTCGATTCGGTTGGGGCATCCGGAAGATGGATGACGATCGGAAGAGGGGAGACGTCTGCAATGAGTGAGATTGACTATATTCTAAAAGAACGTAAAAATTATAATATAATAGAAGGCTTATCCTATACTTGCACTTTAAGCTCAATTATCTACAGTTCTATATGATAGCGTAAAAGGCAAGTATAGGGTGACCTTTCATTACAGCGATTACGTTAGACTACTTACTTAGTAGCCGCTGTGAATCTGGGATTCATTGTACTCGTGAATCCTCTGACATCCATTGTACTTCTAGTACGATCCAAACCAATTCCACCAACTTTAATAACTGGAACCGTGGTAGTGGCTCTGTTTCGTTTGGTTGTGGTGGTGCTAGGATCATTGAATGGGATTACTATTTCTCCGGTATCTTGGTCGTCATCGGTATGAGGTATAGCAATTTCGGAGCCGAGGGAGATTTTCTGTAGTGTTACAGTGATCGTAATACTCATTTTAGTATTAGAAAATTCAAAACGTACCGGTCCTTTTGTGGTTTTAGACTCTCCGAATCCAAAGAGTGCATTTGCACCAACACTTAGAAGGCATAAAATAAGTAGAGTTTTCATTGCTAAACTAGAGAGACTGATTGAAGAAGTCAACAAAAATCAATGTTGATATACCGATTTCTTATCAAGTCAGAAGGCGTTTTTGTTTCTTTTCAAAAAATTTTCATTAGATTTTTATTTATCATGTGTTATCATTTGTGTGATGTGATTGATAGAATTCGTCAATCAATCGATTTCCGTTTATGAGTCATGGAAATGAAAAGGTCATATTTATCCATTCAAATTTGTCACTGGGATTATTAGTCTAAGGATTCAAAAAAAAGTACACAATGACTAACTATATATCACAGAATCTATGAATTTTTAAGAGTTGACTGAAAATCTTAAAAATCAGGGAATAAAGAAAGTGTTCAAATCGACAATATCGAATAGCACCAAAAAATGTAGAGGGAACAAAAAATGCAAAGGAGGAGAAGGAGGAACCCGTATAAATCAAAAGAAAAAAGTCAATTAAAGAAGGTAGATCATCAGGAAAAGAACGGTGAAAACGGTGAAGAGCATCGGGGAGGCAGCGCTAGAATGTTGTAGTTCTTCTAATAGAAAGTCGACTGCGGAGTCGCCCTTTTTGGAGACAACAACGTTTCGAAGATGTCGATTTCTGAAAATTAATAGGATAGAAACGCGAAGTTTTGGTTAGAATCCAAATACCATAAACACTCTAATAGGACGCCACCCGAATCGTCGAATTTGAGCACATGTATCTCATTTTCTGTGAGAGATATCAAAAAGTGGTTAACTAATAGAATGTTGCTGACTTCATGATAAACATTTTATTAGTGGACGACTTTTTGATATCTTTCAAAAGATGTGAGATATATAGGCTCAAAGTGGACGGTCCGGGTGCAGTTCTACATATTGGAGTGTTTACGGTATGTCATTTAAACGAATATATCTCGAAAATTTTGAATCACAAAATATAATCTATTTTTCGAGCTCAGGTATCTCGTTCTCTATAAGAGATTTCAAACATCAGTTAACTAATAAAATATTGGTGATATTGTGATAACCATTTTGTCAGTTGACGATTTTTCGATAGCTCTTACAGGATCCGAAATAATTGAACTCAAAGAGAACATATCGAGAGATTTAGAGTCGGCATGCTAGACCTTCCATTTTCTGTTTATTCTTAGATCTTACTTCTGGAAAGGCGTATCCAATTCAATAGACACTGTTCTCCTTCTCCTCGTTTTCTGATCTCCACATTCTGTAGTCCATGCATCCAACGTTACTCTCCATCCCATATCAGTGACCTCAAAACCATAGCAATCGCTATCCGGAAGTTGTCCGATTGACTTGGTCTCGTAGTAAGGAAGATTTTTCAGCTCGCCATTTGTGATTTTGATTTTTCCATCGAAACCGATAAATACCTGGAAATTCATTGTTAATATCTAAACTGACTTTGTAGACTCGCCTCTAAAGAGTTTTTAATTTTTGGAGAATCAATGTCCTGAACTTTATCCATTAGATAAATCGACACTCCACTATTCTCATCCAAATCCACATTTTCCATTCCCTTCTTCGGCAGGAAATGTACTTTTCCACTGATTTTCTGCTTTGATGGGAAGTTTGGAGGTGGAATTTTGGAGAGCAAAAGTGCAGTGGGTTCTCCAAGGAATGCGGGTCCTTTCTCTGATCGGACTACTGTAGAAAGTTGAGATCCAGAAGATGAAAACTCCACGGCTTGCCAGTCTTGTAGGGAGAATGTAGGTGGGGTCTGAAAATTAATTATGCGTGTGAGAAGAGATTTAAATTTTCAAACTACCACTATTGGATCATTCGACTCGGTCTGCAAGAACTTTCTGTGCTTAGGGTCCAGGTCATAGAGAATTCGATTTTTGGTGGTGGAGCGACGAAGCTCTATGATAGGAGTCCAGTTAGTAACATGGTCATCAGCATCACTCCAAAGGAGCAAACTAATCGACTGATCCATTCCTAGCAACCATAACAGTTGCTCTTTGGAGTGAGCAGCCACAGAGAGTCTCACGGATAACATCACCGGCTGGTCCAGTCTACTGATATACTCCAGAATATGGAATAGTTGACGCCAGGACAATTTCTTATACTTCGGGTGCAAATGACTGAAATCCGACTGCTTGGTCCACCCCAAGGATAACGTGGCATCTGGGAACAGATCTTTTGCCTTCTCGACAAAAGTTGTTGGGTCGACTTCGGTCTCCACACTCCTGGGCGATCTGAACACATTCGCATGGAGAATCACGGGGTACTGTAGAACAGGAGATGTTGGATCGGCTTGACTGGCGTAGAGATCCTGGAGCACCGGTCGGACAACTTCATTAGAACGGAAGTTGATTTTAATGGCTGAAATATGGAATCTGATGAAATGGTCCGATATATTCCAGATGTAAATGTTGAAATTTTTCTATACAAGTGTTTTAAATCATGTGATTTAAGTACGAAAATTCTATCGTGAAACCTGTAATAGAAGGGCCCCACACTGTCACGTTTTGAGGCCAATTATCTCGGGTCCTGTGAAGTGAAAGTTATCAAAAATGGGTGAACTAATAAAATGTTTGTGATAAATTGTCAGTTGACAACTTTTTTATATCTTTGACAGGTATGGAGATTAATTAGCTCAAAGTTAAAAGTTTACGAGACTTAGCTCAATTATCTCGGATGCTGTAAGAGCTATCGAAAATTCGTCAACTGACAAAATGTTTATCACAATATCACCAATATTTTATAACTGATTTTTGGAATCTCGTATAGAGAACGAGATACCTGAGCTCGAAAAATAGATTATATTTTGTGATTCAAAATTTTAGAGACATATTCGTTTAAATTACATACCGTAAACATCTAATAGAACGCCACCCGGACCGTCCACTTTGAGCCTATATATCTCACATCTTTTGAAAGATATCAAAAAGTTGTCAACTAATAAAATGTTTATCATAATATCAGCAACATTTTATTAGTTAACCACTTTTCCATGTCTCTCACTGAAAATGAGATACATGCGCTCAAATTTGACGATTCGGATGGCGTTCTATTAGAGTTTTTACAGTAGCTTGAGTTCTTGTTTTCAGTTGCTCAAAATTGAATTATGTCATCGAAAGGTGAAAAACAATGAACGTTTTTGTTAAGTCCGAATCTTAATAGCCATACTTAAAGCTTTATCGCATTGTGCATAATTAAAAAAACTACTCGTCCAACTTTTTTCTCCCTTCGAGACTATTCCATCTTTCCTTCCAATACTTATGCACCTGTCATCAGACACCCAGCAAGAGAGGGTCCTCATCATAAATCACGTCTCTCGCCCATCACTAACAGCAACAACACTTATAACAAAAGTTTCGAAGGTGTGTAAAGTTTACGCTGCCAAATGACAGCTCCTTCTCGAAAACACATAAAACGTGTCGGGTGTCGATAATCTATGCGTTAGAGTAGCAGGAGAGGGTGACAGGTGCACCAACTTTGAAAAAGTTACGAATTTCAATTTTATTTTCAGACCCCTTGTTTTTTTCGATCACTATATATTTTTTATTAGTCTCCTTGTCCCCCCGACCGGTCTTGTCATTGAGACATTTGGAAGACGACAGGTTAAATGATGGAACATGATGGATTACTGTAGGTCGGGGTTGAAGTTCACATTTGTACTATCGTCAGATGATAGGCTGTTAAGGATGGGAAAGGTAATTGGAATGGAATGTGAACGGATAATTGGTTACCATTAGTTAAAAGGGAGGAGGAGAAAGTTTTGTAACAGCTGTGTTGATTGATGATTTTTGGGACAAAAGGAAAAGCAGGTCTTTGATGTTGACCGACAAATTGGAAAAGGGTCCAGAGACTTTATAAAACTAAGTTCAGCAGAAACTCCTACCTTTATGCATACTCGCCACTTCTCTCAACCATTCTTTAAAGGTAATCCTATCTGCGATCTTGGTATCCGCCTTCATCACTGGAACCGCTCGATGACGTGGTCGACGGTGTGCTTGCATGAAGACGTCCCCTTCGATCATCATCGACTTGTTCAGAAAGGGTTCTGTAATAAATTGGTGTTCGGCTTTCTCGTTTTAATATGGAACAGATTACTGAGACTCGGTGGTCCATGCTAATTATTTTCCAAAGGATTACAGTCCAATTGCCGCCAGACGGTTTCCTCATTAGCTACATATCCCTTTCTCTCCCCTTGTTCCTACCGCCCTTCTTGAGAATCACGGTACCTAACCTAATTTCCTCTCCTACCGGGACCATGAACCGACAAAGAGTTACGCAATACCATCTCACCCTCCTTACCATGTAGTTGATCCACTAGATCAGGCCAGCTGTTCACGCCATGAGCGACGCGAACGTTGAGACCGTCACCTTTGGTTTCATTTTTCCAAAAGTCCACGACGGACATCCGTGTGGCACGCATCTCTCGGCCATAGTCTGAAAACGATGAAATCAAGATAACTTCAAACCTGTAATAGAAGCCCCCCCCCCTAACTTAAAGCTAATTTATCTCGGTATCTGTCAAAGATATGAAAAAGGTGTCAACTGCTAAGTGGTTTATCATGATATCACAGACATTTTATCAGTTGATCCATTTTTGATATCTTGTACAGGAGTCAGGAAAAATTAGCTCAAACGTGACAGCGTGCATGCCCAGGAATCACGGTAGGGATCCGAAATTGGGGCTTTCTTTTTTCAACAACCATTTTGAGTAAGACTAAATTTATGTCTGAAACCATCCATCCATCTCAACTCGAAATATCTCAAATTTCACATTTCCTACTTAATCCCATCGCGACCCCTTCTCCGTCTTTCTTGAGCACTAAATGAGCTCTCATCATTGCTCATCATCATCATTTAGTAAAAGCGTTGGGGTGTGGGAACGGCCTACGGGCTTGCTTGAATGAAACAATTAGTAGAACTTGTGGAGAAAAAGAGACACGCGAACGGATTTCTTTGTTTGCATTGGGGTTCCCAAAATCTCGATCCAATTGACACCCGTCTCTGCATTCATCGGTAATCGGATTCGATGTATGAGTTTGGAAATCTATTCAAAATTGAGTTAGGATGGGTAAGTTAGATCTATGAGAATCAGGCTTTCTCTTTTATTTTTTCTTAAGAATCCCTCCAAAAAATACCGTAAAACCTGTATTAGAAGGGTCCTCCGAGAGGGGCTCGGAAAAATAGAAGGGTCCCTGTAATAGAAGGGCCCCCGTAATAGATGGGGCCCCTTCAAAATGAGTTTTGAAATTAAAAAATTGATGTGAAATTGATAGATTTTCAAAAAAAAAACAAAAATGTTGAACGAAACTTCCCGAATTTTTCGATAGAATATTTCGGAAAAAAATGACCGGAAAAAAAGAAGGGCCCCTGTAATAGAAGGGCCCTCCGGAGGTACCTTGGAACAATAGAAGGGCCGGCCCTTCTAATACAGGTTGTACGGTATCTGAAATTGACAGGTAAATGGGATCTATACTACCAGAGTCTTTCCCTATTTTTTTTTTCAAAGAAAAATATCACTTCTGCACTAAAAACCTCCCAAAAAATCTGTCAACTAAGACATGCCATTTTTGATATTTCATCGCGTCCACTGGGACCAATTTGCTCATTGTTGGACCACCCACATCAACTCATCCCGTTTATTTTTCCACTTGAGACTTCCTCCTCTTCTATGCCTATTTGACTATAAAACTATATAGTCATGGACCATATGGATGGGATAGGGGGTACCTTATGGTCCTGTATTATAGAAAAGAGAGCCCTCGGGGGCCCGGTCACTAATTAGTGCTCATTAGTACACACATACCTCGACATAATGCCGGCGACAAGAGGGCAAGAAATATTGGCAACCAATTCGACGACATCATTTTGGATCCATGGTTTTTTTCTGCTTGTGTGAGAAATTTGGAGTTTGGAAGAATCTGAAAGTTGGAACATCAAAATGAGATTCGAACCAAAAAAGGGGCTGGGAAAATTGTGTTAGAAAGTACAAACAAGCAAGATTCTTCAAAAATTAGATCTGGAAACGAAAAAAAAAGAATTCTGTGCAAAAACTGCCAAAAACATGTAAAATCCAGTTTAAAATAGGTCAAAGCGCCTAGAAAACAATTAAATTAAGATTACTAGGGAGATAATGAGAGGTGGAAAATTTAGACATCTGCGGGAGAACATTTTGTTGAAACCAGAAGATTATCACCGCCAAAAAGCGGATCAAACTACCTTTGAGAGCAGGAAAACCTTAAATGTTCCCAAAAAAGAGGTTTTTGTAATCTCATGACCTCAATTTTTTATTCTATCAAAACCAAAATAGACGGGTATCACCTCGATGCTATTTCGGGTTTTCTGTGAAGTTTTGGCCCAGTGGGACTCCGCTAGAGTCCGCTAAAAGGGAAAAAACGGACACACAGACACACAGAATTTGGTGATTGTTAATAGTAAAGATGAATGGTTCTTAGAACCTCTTAAAAGCTTCAGAAATTTCAAAAAACCAAAAATTATATTTGGATTCAAAAAGCTTAAAAATAGGATTTCCTCCAGAAGTCATCAATCTTCTCTTTTCCGTTCTCTCCTCTAGGAAAAAAAAAGTAATCAAAAATTTTAATGGAAAAAAATTTCAACGTCTTCTTTTCAAAAAGTGTTAAAAAGGCACCAAAATGATAAACGGTGGTTTTATGCAAATCGGAAAAACCACACCACACACAACTTTTTCTCTTCTTCTTTTGCTTTTTTTTGGACTAGAGGATAGAGCAATAAAAAAAAGGGATTGGAAACATTACAATTGAAAAAGAGAGACAAATTTCGAAAATGGGAAAGTGATGGGAGGTTTAAAAGTAGTAATTATGGAAGATTTGCATACATAAAAAGGAAGTGTGGGTGTTCCGTCGGGAGAAGAAAAGGCAGGAAAGGGGGTGGGTGACCCTCTGGTATAAGAAAAAGGGGGAAGCTTCTGTGCGGGGTCCGTTTCTCCTAAGCCACGCCCACTTTTTAGGGGAAGAGCATTGAAAATGAGAAACTGAATTTCTTCTGGAAGCTTGTAATCTAGAAGCTCAAATTAAAAACTTGAAGTTTTATGAAAAGGGTCTCCTTTCAGCCAGCTTTGACCAAGACTGTCGTTAGGGTACTTCTGAAATAGGTAGGGTTCGGCTGCCTAGAATTTACTGATTGGTCCAAGCCGCGGACATCTAAGGAAACCTGGGAAAGTCAAATCTTGCAACTTTGTCTCCAAAATTCTCCTCCAACACATTCTCATAGCCTTCAATTTTCTTTTCTTTTCTACTTTTTTTCTTCGTTTTTTTTCTCTTTTTGCCTAAATACACCCTAATTAAACTAGGCGCGAAATAGATCAAATCCTCCTCCAGGCACTTTTTGTTTCTTAGAGATTCTTCTATCCCGGATATAGCAATTACTGATTCAGAAGAATGCTGCTGACCCAAACAGTGACCGTCTGAAAAATACTAAAATAGGAAGAGGGTGCGAGGAATAGGAGAAGCCAGAAGGCGTTCAGGCGTGAAAGATTTCTTTTTTGAAGAAACTTGACACCATATTTTTGGAACTGGTGCGCAAAATTTTAGAAGTCGAGTAGGTCTAGTCTGAGATAAGAAAAATGATCTAGATATTCCACTAGCTACTGAATTCTTAAATCTAGCGGGCCTGACAGACAGATTCTATATTTGGGACCTAGATGGAAATTACTTGCTTCCTGGCCCCAAAATATTATTCCGACAAAATTAGCGACTAGAACGAAAAGCACAGAACAAATTGACGGTGTTGTGTGAGGAAGTGTATACACTGATGAGGGCGCTTTTTGTGACGGGACCCCTTCCAAAAACGGGCGGAAAATAGAGGGAAAAAAAAGAGGAGAAGAGGAAAGGTAGTAATCAAATCACGCGGTGCTGAATGGGGACGACAAGAAATGGGATTTTGTTTTGTACTGAATGTGGTCATGGATTCACCCGGCGAGAGGAGATTTTTTAGATGGGTGGATTGCAAGAAGAAGAAGAAACAAATTTGAGAAAGGTAGCGAAATGGAGAAATTGAACCCAAATGGGTTGGGTTTGTATAGTGGTAGATATGAGGGTGGAGAAATCCAAACTGGATAGTACGAGTTTTAAGATATTCAGTACCGGTTTCTGGAGGGCACTTCTGCATTTTGAGAGTCGGAAAATCATTTTAAGACTTACAGTGCCGGTCACAAAGATATGCAAAAACCTATTTTCAGTTAATTTACGGGCATTTTGAACTATTTTCAGGAGCCTGGAACTCGGTTGTCAAGTTTCCGAACATTTCGAAAATTCTGGAGAGTTTAAAATCGACCTAGATTGAAACCTTTGCATTCACAGTATTTTTTGAAAATTCCTAGTTTTTCAGCTCAGGGATGTTTTTTTTTCAGCTTAGGGCCCCCTTGATGAGCTCAGGGAAGAAAGACACCTGTTTCGAAATCTTCAAATGGCTGGAAAAATAGGAATTTTCAAAAATTCTGTGAATGCAAGGTTTTTAGTCTAAATGCGACGTTTTATGACATCTTATCGTCCTTCTTTCTATTAAGATTAGAAGTGAGAAGACATTGTTTCAATGCAGACAACAAAACCGTTCCGCACAGGTTACGGTTTACGGTTTACAGCCTTTTAGGTGGCCCAGTCTTTGTGGTTTACCGCAAAAACAGACTCATTCTCCCTCTTTTTAGAGCGCGATGACTAAAGGGATCTAGTTGTCCAACACTCATTTACCGTATTTCCTAAAATAGGAGCTTATCCAAGTCAGAGCTCGATTATCTTAATTTTTGTGAAAGACTTGCCATCTGCTCGCCGCGCCTTCGGCGCGATTTAATCTAGTTTGTTAACTGGTTCGTCGCTTCGCTTTTCACGTTTTCTTAAAGGTTATCTATACTTATTTGTCAAGCTTTTTAAAACCGGACAGTGTACATGAGGACCAACAGACATCTCTAGCGTTTTGTACATAAGGAAGATATCAAATTTTGTAAAATGATAAACTACTTATCAAAATATCACCAATATTTTATCAGTTCACAAGCTTATGATATATCTTTTATGAACAGAGATAATTGAGCTTAAAGTTGATGGTTTAGGTAGTAATTGTCACTGATTGACCAACATAAATGGCTTCAAACTTATTTTCTTCTGTTTGACTTCTCAAAATCACTGAAAAATAGGATTCTTGATCAATCCTGTTAGCCCTATGTCGTAATTCACCTATTCTAGAATGCCGCCAGCAATCAAAGTGAACCATTCGATTTTATTACGTAGTTGGCTAGATGCATACCTCTGTTTCCCTATTTCCCACTTGAGTGGTACTGTTTTCACTTTTTTTTCGTCTTCCTCTGAAAAGGGTAAACAGGTAATTTAAGTAATTTAGTATACAGAGGGGAAGTAATGGAATTTAGGTTGAGAAGAATTCGAAAAATGGGGTTTTATAGAGGTCAGGTCATAAAGCATACCACCCACTGGGGATCGATCCTTATAATCCATGATTAGGAAAAAAAAGATTATTTCAAAAACCGCGAAAATTATGCAAATCGGAAGCGATTAGTCGCGCGAATCATCATTTCTCTTGATGGTTCGAAACTTGATTTTTCTCGAAATTTCTCTTTCCCCAAAAAAAATTAGACATCTTGATTAATAGATTTTGAAATGTTTGTACACCTAGAGATACAAAAAGATAGGAAGATGAAACAATCCGCAATGGGGATATGATAATATGAATGATAATCGGGAGAAAAATTGATATCGTAAGAGGAGGTAGGGGATATATAATCTGATGGACTATGAAATATCACTTTGACAGTATGGTGAGTATTGGATCTGTCGGGATTCGGAAGACTATTTGTTGTTTCTTTTGGATCAGTGCATCCATAAAGTTCCACGTATTGATTTCCAGCCAAGTTTAAGCCACGCCCACTTTACAACTTCCTTATGACTAGCCTGTTCCGTGGGAACTGAAAACTAGAGAAGACTCTTTGTTTTTCCATCCAAAGATAACTATCGCACTTTTTACTCCTTCATGGGACAGTCAGCCCGCGAAAAAAGAATACAAGGTCAAGACAAAAAAATTGGGGAATTCAAAAACGAAAAAAAAATAAGACGTTTGTTCAGAAGTTCTTGCTGCTGCTGATGCTACCCGCCATCACCACCACCACAATCATCAAATTAATCGAATGTGAACGGTATCAGTGATAGAGAGATTAGAGGTAAGCAGGAGTGTGCTAGAGAAAGCAGAGGGGGCGGAAGAGTGATCGAAGAAGAAGGTAGGGGTACCAAAAAAACGACTGATGATGAAGATGGAGAGGTGAACCTGTTCGAAACGACTGATGATTTGTGTGGAAAGGGCATGATTGGGTTAGTACTACTAGTAATTTAGTACTTCTCGGTGTGTAACCATATGGGAAGGTTGTCCATGGCTCAGGCACTAAAAATCGAAATGAGATACAGAAACAGGTGCAGCACACACAAGAAGGCCAGGTATTACGAGGGTGATGGTCCTTCTAACGGGTATAATAATGGTCATGAATGAGGGAGGCGTAGAAGTCAACATTTGACACACACACACACACACACAGAAGCATGACATAAAGATGAAGATAGGCTTACTATTAGAAGACAGGCAGATGGCGTGGATTTGGTAGAAACAGGGAAGATTAGGAAAAGAAGAAATGGTTTTTAGACTGAATTTTTAGCTATTCGTACTGTCCAGGTTGAATAAGATAATTTATGTGCTCTCCCTGGTCTAATTGATTGAACTCTTCCTAGGTTTCTAGAATCTAAAAACTCGTAACTACTAAATCATCCCTTGTTTCTTCTTATTTAACTATTAACTATATTTAACTGTCTTTCATATATTTACCGAAAATTAAAAAATATAAAAGAGGAGTTACATACCGTATATCGTTAATGCTGAATCAGAAGTCACCCTATACGTTCCCTTTGAGCTCAATTATCTCGGTTCCTTCAACATATATCAAACATTAGCCAACTGATAAAATGTTGGTGATATTATGGTGAACATTTTATCATTTGAAAAGTTTCTGATATCTCTAATAGGAACCATGATAGTTGAGCTCAAAGAGCACATATAGGGAGGGCTTCTATTAAAGCAATTCCGGTGTTTCCTTCAATCTCATTAGTTGACTAATATTTTGAAGTTTTGATTAAAAAGTGAAACAATCAAGCATAAAGTTGTGACTTCTCCGACAGCTGCTCTATGAAAAAATATTGGCTGTAATCTGCATATCCCCCGCCCACCTAAATCCTACCTCCCACGAAACAAACAATATGGTGTCTCGCTCGTTGAACCGTGTCGCTCGATTCACAAAAGTCACAAAGTCAATCACCAGGCAGGAAAAAATTATCTACCCTTTTTACCGCTACTCGCGCATAATTTTTTGACCACCCTAACTAGTTTTTTACCCTCTGGTAAAAGTTTCAGAATTTATACAAAACGGTTGACTCGGTTTTTTATAGGGGTAAAATGGGAAATGAGGGGAATGACTGATGAAGGCAGGG